GGCCTTACGGATGGACAAAAGATCACAGCCTCAATACACGTCGACCCGCCTGTCGCGCATACGATCAACATTGAGCCGCTTACGCCGGAAGACTGGGAGATGATTGAACTACACGCCACCTTCCTCGAACTCAATCTCTTGTCTCAAGTACGAGCGTTGCCGAATCCTGCTTTCACCTCGAGCTCGGGCTCGCTGGTTCCTCCTCACGCCTTAACGTTACACCTGTCGCCGACATCGACAGCGAACGTTCGGGTCGTCTCCCTAGACCCTGCACCGGCGACCGATGTCCCTTTCGTCAAGATCTCTCCTGATGCCGAGGTCATTGTTGCACCCAAAGTTCGGGCCAAGACGTCGCATTCGTTGGGAGAGAACCGTAGTGTAGCAAGCACTTCCAAGTCCAAACGCAGCGGTGCTAGTACAGTCCGGCGGCGAAGTGCGCGCGAGGAGCGCAAGCCTGCCTTGTGTTTACGCGGGGTCGCCTACTCAGCTTGCACAGAGTGGTTCGACGAGGACCTAACTACTCATGATTTTAGTGTCTGGGTAGATCGCGATATTTTGTATACCAGAGACTTCAGGGGCGTCAACTACGTGTCGGTAAATATCTTGCGACCCGCACAACAAACAAGCTCCACGCAGAAGCCCCAGCAAGATGCTGAACAATCAGCGAGCACGTCCAAGGTAGCCACAAAGGTCGTTGCCAATCTAAAAGCTTGGGACGACCCCCCGGATAGCAAAACGATAGCAATCTCACCAGCACTGTGTTCAACATTAGGATTCACGGCATCTGTTGGCGGTGTTGTGAAGATCGAGCCTGCGCCTCAGCAATGGCCTTTGGATGCGGTGCAAAAGCTGATCATCCAACCGTTTGCCGCCTCGAAGAAGTCGTCTGGGGGTTTGAAGTTTGGCGGTGAATCCAAGGCCGGAAAGGAAGATGCTTCAAAACAATTCAAGCAGATATACGGCTCTCGCAAAGATTCTTCCTCTCTTCTCAGCGGGCCCCTGACAGATGGCTCAGTGCTTGGGACTTTTGAAGGTTTGGAGGCTCCTCAGGGTTGGGAGGGAGGTATCATCAAATTCGACCCACCAGCCATCAACAGCGACCCCCTGAGATCATCAACTAGGTGGGTATTGGGACTGAGCGAGAAAGTTCCCGTCGATATCCGAGATCCGGTTCCACGACCATCCTTCTTGAACGACGACGGTATTGCCGAGCTTCAACCACGCTACGAGGGTCAGCTTGTTGGCATCGACAAATTGCTGCAAGATCTTCGAAGCCATCTTTCGCATCTTTCTTCCACCCTCCTTACTGGTGCGCTGGGCTCTGGCAAGACTGCTGTTGCACGGTCCTTAGCTCATGAGCTCGGGAAAGACCTACTCTTCCATACTACTTACTTCCCATGCCGGAAACTAGTGAACGACGAAACACGAATCGCAACTATAAAGGATACTTTGAATCAAGTGTTTATGTCAGCAAGTTGGGGCGCCAGGTTGGGAGGGAAGGCGCTTGTGGTTTTGGATGATCTGGATAAATTGTGTCCCGTGGAAACGGAATTGCAAGTTGGCAACGACAACGGAAGAAGTCGCCAAATCAGTGAAATCGTCGGGTCTATTGTCCGCCAATACTGCAAGGTCGAAACAGGTGTTGTTTTGCTGGCAACCGCAGAAGGCAAAGACTCTCTTAATGATGTCATCATCGGAGGACATGTAGTCCGCGAGATTGTGGATCTGAAGGCACCAAACAAAGAGGCAAGACGCAAGGTTATGGAGAGCATTGTCGGACAAGACGCCGTTGTTCCTGCAGATATGCTGCGGGCACCTCAGAATGGCAGTCGTCCTACTACAGCTGACGGAAGCGTTGCAGGAGAGGACAGCGCATGGATGGATGCCGGCAGTCAAGGCAGCCGAGAAAACCACACTTCTGCCACAGGCGGATTCGTCCTGGATCCAGATTTGGATTTCCTCGATATTGCTGGCCTTACGGATGGCTATATGCCAGGCGACATCAGCCTCCTAGTGGCAAGGGCGCGGAACGAAGCTATCATTAGGTCGGTGAATAGTGCTTCCGCCGAAAGTAGCGGTGCAGTACACTTGAGCCGCGTAGATTTCAACAGCGCTCTCAAGGGCTTCACGCCAGCCTCCCTAAGGAATGTTTCCTTGCAGCACTCGACCACCACGTTTAGCTCTATCGGCGGCCTGCAGGAAACTCGCAAAGTTCTTTTGGAGACTCTGCAGTACCCAACCAAGTACGCACCTATTTTTGAGCAATGTCCGCTCCGGCTGCGTTCTGGACTGTTACTATACGGTTATCCCGGCTGCGGCAAGACGTTGCTGGCAAGTGCTGTCGCTGGAGAATGCGGGCTCAACTTTATCAGCGTCAAGGGACCTGAAATCCTCAATAAGTACATTGGCGCATCGGAAAAGAGTGTACGCGACCTCTTCGAGCGTGCGTCGGCTGCAAAGCCTTGCGTTCTTTTCTTCGACGAATTCGACTCTATCGCTCCCAAGCGTGGACATGACTCCACCGGTGTCACGGACAGAGTTGTGAACCAGCTGCTTACGCAGATGGATGGCGCGGAAGGTCTTTCGGGAGTATACGTGCTTGCGGCGACGTCTCGTCCAGACCTGATCGATCCTGCTTTGCTTCGTCCTGGACGTTTAGACAAGTCTCTGCTTTGCGACATGCCTATGTTGGAAGATCGTATCGACATTCTGAAATCGCTTTCTAGCAAGGTCAAGCTCGGCGAGGACCTGACCGAGTCCGATGACGCATGGACCGACATTGCCCAGAAGACTGAGGGGTTCTCTGGAGCGGACCTTCAAGCTCTCGTGTCCAATTCACAACTTGAGGCGATCCATGCTGTCTTGGGCGATGCCAATCATGCCTCCGCGGCAAATGGCAAGGTCAATGGGAAATCCTCTTCGTCTCAAGGCTTCGTTCCCAGCTTTGTGCAATTCCGTTACGGTCAACACTCTACGCCAGCGAGCAAACCCATCAGCCGACAGGCAGAGCTAGTCGAGAATGCAGCCATCCTCGCTAAACTAGAGAGCATCAGGCTAGCTCGAAAGAGGGTGAAACATTCTCAGCGCCCCGACGGGGAAGCCAAACTGGAGAACGACAAAGAGGTTGTTGTGAAACTGGAGCATTTGATGAAGGCACTCGACAATACGAGGTCCAGTATTAGCACACAGGAACGGGCGAGACTGCGCAGAATTTATCACGAATTTGTTGTAGGTCGAAGTGGTGAGATGAAGGATGGTCAAGGCAGCATGGAAATTGGAGGGCGAAGCAGTCTCATGTGATGCTTCGTCTGCATGTCCGTGTATGAAAAGTGCATCGTCTCGACCGGGACGGTGTTCAAAAAATGAGTCTAGTCATGCCGCATCCGCGTCTGTTATCTACTTGTCCCGATCTTGCTAAATAATTCTGATGCTGGTGTCCTCAATTCAATTCTTTTTGGCTCATGACGCCTTGCCCGCCAGAATCTTCTTGTGGAAATCCCTCCAGTTCGTCTCGCACGTTCCCTTGACAACGCTCGCCAAAAACCGTGAACAATTGACCACGACGACCTCCTCCAACTCCAGCCCACCATCGCTGGCGTCTTTGACGCGCCAGCGGGTCTCCAGCACGACGTTGAGCGGACAGCTCGTGCGGACGAAGCTGCCGTCCTTGGTGAAGGTAAAGTCGTAGTCGCTAACGGCGTCACTGTCCCAGATGCCCTTTGGTAGGAGAGTCGGCACACTGTCGATGACGGTGTAGCACTGCGTGGAGGCGATAGGCTCGATATCCTTGGGCACCGTAGGCGGAATTTCGGGCGTGCGTTTGGTGTAGCTCTTCATGTTGGGGTCACACTGGATGTGGTGTTCGGCATCGTGGATGAGGGCGATGGCGTCCTCGCGCGACATGCCTGCAGGCAGCGGGGTGGCGTGTGTCATGGACAGTGTGGTGTTCAGCATTTTGGCGAGGTCAATTGTCTAGAAACCCGAGAAATGATTAGCAGTTGTTGCAGTCTGCAATATATTGTCTTGAATGGAAATTGGTGAGTGTTGAAAGACTCAAAGAACGCAATGGTGATGCTTTATCTAAAGTAGTTATGTTATGCAAAAGAAAGACCGACGCTATGCCGAACAGGTCCAAACAAAGAAACTCAAATTAACGACATAGGCGACTCGGGTTGTCCTCAAACTTCGTGGTATGGGGAAGTTGCATGTGATACACTTGACGTGTCAGATGGGGAGTCCTTGCCAATCGCTTTCCACATATCCGAACATGGTGTACACGATGCGGTTGATGACGATGGACTTCCGCGTATGTCCTCCTGAGCTTGGAGACAATATTCCTCTCCACATTCCGCAGAGGCTGAGATCAGAGGAAGAGCAAAAGAAAGAGGTAGGATAAGCGGTGCTGCGCGAACCATGCATCGGGGACCATGCATCGCGAGGGGGTCTCTAATGGCCTAGCGTCTGGCTTCGGAAACTCTAATCCAACTCTCCGCACCTCATGCATTCAAGGCATTAATTGACGGCAGTTAGTACGACAGGGGTGATTTGGCAGCGGCCGAGAATTCAATCATGTCGCTGTCGGCTACAGAATCGGCGGAGCGGCACGGTCCGGTCGGGGCTGGGTGGTTGTTCCTGCATGCCGGACCCGTATGCGGATGCGGATACGGAGAGCCAGTGGCTCTGTTGCCCTACCTAGCTCTGCGAAACAACACCGCTGCCGTATGAAACTTCAGATCCGGTCTGACTTGACAACACCGCTTACCCACCATGGAAGGCACTGCAACTGGTGGCTCGCAACCAGTTTGCATTGACAACAGCGAAGACTGGAGACACGGGCATCCCTGATCAGTGGAACTGAATCCGATATTCGCTGTCGGTTTGGTTTCGTTACATCACTTTTCATGAGCGGAACTGTCAAATGATCAGCAACCATTTATCTCAGCATGCCGGATTTGATCAAGTAAGGAGAGTCTTCTTTGAGAGCCAACATCCAACTTTATATGCGGAGGTGTGATCCCGGATTAAGCAAGTAGAGTGCTAATGAACACAAGTAGAACCGGCCCACGTGTCCAGGTCTTCAGATTCATAAAGCGAGAATCATGATGGAAAGACCCAGGTCGCGCCCACCCCTCACCATGCCAACTACTCAAAGCCTGAAAACGTAGTCCTCGTCAGCAAACCTGGGGTCGCATTTGTCCCTCACCCTTGCGGATTTCTGAAGACAGAAGTTCTCATGGGAAACCCAAGGATCATATCTTTACCTGAAGATATGCGCAATCCTAGGTGAGTCAAACGCAAAAGAAAAATGGCCAACGCAGCCTGCGAATCAGACTCGGCGCAACTGGTCCATATCGACCTTGACTATCCTCTCAGTAGTGAACAGTACAACGGCGCTGCCGATGCCAGCACTCAGTGCATCGATACCATTTGCCAAATGGCTGCTAGGGTTCGCGTGATCGGCGACGCCGGAGATCACGTAAGAGTGATTGCCCATCAGGCGCTGCTCGTGAATCCACTCCTGATTATGAGGGATGAGCACCTTCTGATGAATCACTTGTGTCTCCACAACGTCGTGAAACTTCTGGGCCACGATCCACACCTCAAGATCGTGGAGCATGTAATGGTGTGCCTGCTGCTTGATCATCGCGTACATGGGGTAGTCGAAGCCATTGCGCGAATCCCAGAAGAGGGGATAAAGGTCCGTTCGCAAGTATCGAAGAATATGGACGAAAAGATCACCGTCGTTGTCAATGTGAAAAACACCGTCACGATACCAGTTGCGGAAATCAATAGAGAATAAACTTTTGAACCAGGGGCTCTTCTCAAGTACTTCAAAGGTGGTGACGAAGCGACGACCGCCAACCTCAATCTTGACCTGGCTTCTGTAGCGAGGAGTTAGAGCGAAGTCGGGCGAAGTATTGGTGCCCTCAGGAAATTCTTGGCCGACAAATGTATGACTGGCAGGAGTTGGCAATGTGTTCGAGCCTCCGGGTGTCACCGTGGACGTAGCGAGACGGGTCGAGGTACTCGCGTCGAAGCTCATGTCTGTGTTGGACTCGGTGTTCGTGGGGAAGGTGTTACCCATATGGAAATTGACGTTCGAACTGGAAGCAGAAGTCTTGTGGTACTGACTGCCATCTGTAGAGGTAGTACTCTCAGCGTAAGCTGCGGCTTGGGAGTCCACACGACCTTCGTTGGAGAATATTTCGGGATACTGGTGAGACCAGAGAGGGTTGGTGTAGTAATCAGGCTCCCTCTTAGGCTTGAAGAGTGTAGGCTTGCCATCCTTGAGCCAAATTTTGGGCTCGGATCTTTTGTTCCAGATGACGGGAGATAAGATGGACTCGGGTGCCACTTTCGCATCATCAACGTCCGGTTCAAAGGTCTGGTTGGCGTCATTTGAGTCTCCGCTGCTTTCAGCCCTGGCGGCTTTGCTAAACGGAGCAATAACAAAGCGGACTTTCTTGTCAGATGGAATTGTGTCAGAGGTAGTAACTTTGGGTACACCATGTAAGGGAGTGGAAGCGACGAGAGAGGTCGAAGACGGGGAATGGTTTCCTTCAGCAGGTACTATATCAGTTTGGGGGGTCTTAAAAATGAGCTCAGACTCAATACGAGGGGTGGAAGACAGAGGAGAAGATTTCTCAGTCAACAAGGCGCTGTTTCGTGAGGCCTCTGGAATGCTGCACATGGCCTCTGGTGAGATGTAGTTGGTCGACGGCAGCAGGTGGGTATTCTTGTCTATGTTTTTGTCAGAACGAAACACCTTCATGTTTTTGCTGTTGAGCAAACCGAACGTACTGTAAGTGGTCGAGGCCAGGAGTTGAACTTCCTCGGATGCCTTTTGATTTACCATGGGCGGCTGGCTGAAAAGACCCGCGTGCGCATTGCCTTTTGCACCGGCATGGTTCTCGTTGTAAGTGCAGTCGCGATTCTCATCAGACGATGGGGTATAGGGCATAGCCGGAAGAAGAACGGCATCTGCAGTATTTTTGTCCACAATTTTGAAGGAGCTCGAGGCTCTCTTGTGACGATGAATGGGCGACTTTGCAGCCCGACTCGGGATCAAAAAACTCGGAATGACTTTCTGGGTGACGTCGACCACAGCAGAGTTCAGATCTCGAGCCACCTCATTGATGTGGTCGTCCATGTAAGTATTGGCAAACTTCTTATTCTGAAACTCTTGCTCAGTTGAATTGGTGAAGCCATTCTTGATGGGTTCTACCTTCTTGCCCAAGGCTGCCGAGTACCGAGAGGTATCCTCAGAATCATCAGGCCCGCGACCAAATAGGGCAGAAAGACGGCCTCTGCGACTGTTATTGTCACCCGGCGAGATGGCGGAAGCGGTCTGCTTGCCGCCAAGTTTTTTTCTCGACATTGGAAGTATAAAGGCAGACTCGGGGGTATTGATAGAGCGTATCTCAGTGTTGGTGGGGTGGGGGAAGGTCTGTCTAATGTTAGAACAACGTACAATGAAAGGAATATAATGGATAAGGAGGAGGAGAAAAGGTTCCAACTAGCCTCGACAGCTGTTTTTGCCTGGCCATCCACAGGCAGAACCTTGCATCGCCACGGGGATACCAGTACATTTGTGTTCACCACAATATATATAAGTGTCAGCTCTCTGTAAAGGGTTGCAGGTGCGTTTTCTAAAAGACCAACCAAAGGGGGGTCAGAAACGAGGGCTTTGAACAGGCAAAGGAGTGCACACAGGTACACACCGTTTGCTATTGAACAATATCAATATTTGTGACTTACACAGTTCAAGGTGTCAGGAGGCCTCTACCAGACTGAAAAATGGAGCCTTCTGGTGTCAGAAATACATATATCAGGTGTGTGGGTGAGATAATACTGTTCCGTTGCGATCACTACAACAAAGTAATCACAAATTGGTGTACCGAGTGCTATGACGAGTTCAGCGAGCAGATGGAGAGTGAGTTAGGGGGAAGAAATATTGTGTTCGGCAACCTTCGAGTTTTAGAAGCAGGAGCGACCTTCGCATGAAAAAAGTATGGCAGGTATAAGCAATAGGGCCGCTCCTGCCTTCAATACCCGCCTAGTTGTTCACTCCAACTTTCTTTAGTTATGCAGCATCTGATAAGGTAGAACGGCGCATGATGGGATGACAGGAACTCAGCTTCCGGCTCTTCGCTCCTTCGCTAGGCGGGTGGGCAGGTAAGGTATCTCACTCATTGCGTCGTTCTACTAGAGTTGCTGACATGGGCTATCCACGGCGGCTGGGCGTGGTGAGCGAAAGCCCGAGAAAGCTGGTTGACACACGGTCTTGACTTGATTTCTAGCAATGTCTATAGAGACTCCATCTCACCATTCCCCTTTACCAAACAGCCATGCTGTACCCTCTCGTCTCTGAAATCGATCTGTGAGTGACTGCGTACAAGTCTCCATGGATTTGGAGCCACATCAACCCTGTCATCTGTGTTTTCTCACAGACAAGGCACTACGTAATACGATCTCGGCAGAAGTACATCAGACCGAAGAATGCCTTCGGGGCCGTGTCGAATGAGGTAGCTTGCGCCTCGACTTAGAATGACAAGGAGAGCAAGATCAGAAATCTTGTTATGCTACCATGGTGGAAAAACCAAAGATAGTACCTAGCCTAAAAAGTTGCGACGATGTCGCAATCGAGTAGCCTGATGGTAACAAGTTTTGGTGTGTGCATTAGAATCAGAAGCGTCCGAACCCCACTGGGCAAGATGGGCGTGCCGATAGCGCTCGGCCGTGCACATAAGCCGCATAGTCTCGGTGTTAGATAGAGGGGTCCTTCAAAAAAATATTTCCCGTCCATATCGCGATCGCATCTTTTGCAATTGCCAGTCAGATCACAAAACCCCCCACAATGGCACCCTCTTCAACACCCAGCCAGGCCGAGCTGGACCGGCGGAGGGTAAGTGCAAGAAGCCACAGTGAATGCGATTGAGCACTGAGTACTGACAAGACTGCGTCCTAGATAGTCGGCATCAACAAGGAAACCGTTACCGATGTGAACTCGACCGACTACCCGGGCACCTACGCCGGCGAGGACCACGCTTGGGATCTTGACCGCTTCGCCTCCAACTTCCGCGTTCAGTTCCACTACAACGCCCAACATGAGGCGTCCTTCTCCCTCATTGGCGTCGATGCCTCCATCGCCAACGCTTTCCGCCGCATCCTCATCGCCGAGATCCCGACCATCGCCATTGAGAACGTCTATATCGAGAACAACACCTCTGTCATACAGGACGAGGTCCTGGCCCACCGCCTCGGACTCATCCCCTTTACTGGTAACCCTGAGGGTATCCATAGGTTTCTCAAGTGGTACCGCAAGCCCGAGCAGGGCGGCAAGGGCTCCTTCGATTACAACACCGTCCAGCTGCGCCTGCGCGTGGAGTGCACCCGTAACCCAGACGCCGCTCCTGGCGAGACCGACCCGAACAAGGCTTTCCTCAACTCGAGCGTATACGCGAAGGATATTGAGTTCGTACCTACCGGGCGCCAGCTCGAGTTTTTCTCTGGCGAGGATGCCATTCGCCCCGTCAACCCGGACATCCTTGTCGCTAAGCTGCGGCCCGGCCAGTGCATCGAGCTCGACATGCACATGCACAAGGGCATCGGCGCCGACCACGCGAAGTTTTCGCCTGTCGCCACCGCCTCGTATCGTCTCATGCCCACCATCAACATCACGCGACCGATTCTAGGCCAGGACGCCGAGAAGTTTGCCAAGTGCTTTCCCGAGGGCGTCATCAGCATCGAGAAGGTCACGAAGAAGGACGCTGCTGTCGCTGGTAGCGGATACGAGGGGCATGAAGGTGAAAAGAAGGCCGTCGTCAAAGACGCTATGAAGGATACAGTCAGTCGCGAGTGCTTGCGCCACCCCGAGTTTGAGGGTAAGGTCAAGCTAGGCCGGGTACGGGACCACTTCATTTTCTCCATCGAGAGCACGGGACAGTGGGACAGCGATGAATTGTTTTTGGAGTCAGTTAAGCAGTTTAAGACGAGGTGTATCCGTCTTGAGCAGCAGGTCATCAACATGGTTAGATGAAGCTCCACTGCACATGTACCATACCTATAGATATCCCGTCATTTCTGTTTTGCAAGGGTTGGCTGGCAATGGCAAAGAAAAAAGTTAATTACGACAATGGTTTTTGATTCTTCTATATTGCCTCTAACTGCGCGGTCATGCCTCCACTCACTCTCCTTTTGTTACGTGTACGGCAAAACATGCTGTCGTTATCATCCACCATTAGTCATGAAGCTCGGGTTTGTCTTATACAGTCGTCTTGAACCGCAGATAGAAGTTGAACTGAAGAGGAAACGCAGGGTCCGTCACGAGAACATTCTGTCCGTCCTCCAACTCGAGTTCCTCGATTGTTTTCTCAAGGTTGGGCCGTGTCTGCTCTTCCAAGCTGGGCGGGGATTGCATGTACAGAGTTTTGTTGTCGGCTCTGATGGATGGCCTCTTCAGCTGGGCCTCTGGACGGACGGCGAATGAGTCCAGGAGATCCTGTAATGTAGTCTTGGGGTCGACCTCTAGAGGCCGCGACTGTTGTCCACATACAGGACAGTCGTCCTTCTTTTCGTGCTTGAAGGTGTAGGTGTAGATGCTGTCGTTACCAGAGTACATCATGTAGTTTTCTTCCATTCCGAGCGTCGGCGCAGCCGAGCTAGCAAGCTTGAAAGCTTCATTGCAGCATGCTGCTGCGATGATGGCGTTTGTGGACGCGATGGCGGGGATAATGTTCTTGATGACCCCCTGTGTGAGAGCATACGTCACGCCGGTGATATTGAACTCTTGAGCACGGGCAAGAGCTTTCTGATAGAGCCAAGACACATGGGTAGAGTCGTCCTTGTCCAGTTGAGGGAACGGTTTCTCCTTTTCCCAGGCGATAACATGCGCCCACTCTATACAGTGTTCGGGTTGGCGGGGGATAGAGGCGATAGTGCAGAGGGGAACAGCAGCTCGTGGCGCATGCATGTCCAATTGGCACTCGATACAAGACGTGATTGAGGGTACAATAACTCGAGCCTGTCCCTTGAAGCCCTCTGTGCCTCCATCGATCATCGGAATCAAGGAGTCGGGGTCCTCACCCTCCTCGGCGATTTGAACAAGCGTCGCATTGATCCATCTCCGTGCTTCAATGCTGTCCAAGCCGCAAACGACGAACTGGAACTGCTTGTAGAAGTCATGGTCGAAATCCTGAATGGCGCAGTTGTGGGCTGTAATCTTAACGCCTTTAACACGGCGCATAACGAACTGGGCCGCGACCTCGGCCTTGGACTTGCCCACATCGGACTTTCTAAATAGAAACTGTCGGTTGAGGTTCGAGATATCGATGGTGTCTAATTCAACCATTAGCCCAGGCTATCGCACTGGAAGCAGACCAATGTTTACCCATATCGATGACATGTATGTCCTTGAACTTGGACATAGCTAGGTTCTTCAGAATCTCGCACCCAAGACCACCAGCACCGCTTAGTAAATGTCAGTCACACCGTTCTCTAGTCAGGGAAGGAATCACGCACATGACCCTATCGAATCATTGTTAGCAAGCAGGCATAAAGAACTAGGTTGTTCCTCAACTCACAAGACTTTGATCTTGTCAAACTGCTCGAAAGCTTCCTCTGTTCCGGCGACATCAGGATCGCTGAAAGGGCCTGGGTTCTTGCGAATGTTGTCGAGGTAGGTCCTGATTCACAACAGGATCAGCACATGGATACAACAAAGCCATTTGGGGTGTTAAAGGCGGCGGCTGGGGGGAACTCACCATCGCTTTCCTTCGTTGACAACCGCAGTCAGTCCAGTACCAGTTGCAGTTGGAGCAGCAGCTTCAGTAGCCATGTTTGGGAGTATCAAGTTGACTACCTAGGCTTCCAATAAAGTGGTTGAGAAGGGACAATCAATCAACCGCTCGGGTCGTGTTCTTGGTGAAGCCGAGCTTCGGTAGGTGGAGGGGCCGATATGATGAAATGCCCCTAAGATGCTTGGGAGCTGCGTCTGTGCACGGTAGATGCCATCAAAGACTTATCGATAAAGAGAGTGGGGCGCATAGCAGGGGTGTCTGCAAGATGGTAGGGTGAACCGAAATATGTCAGTCACAGTGTTGTCACTGTATTTTCAACCTAGGGTGCCTGGGAGGAAACAATTGGGTTCCTAATTATTATCTGGTGTTGGGTACGAAGGTAGAGGAAACTCTAGATGGTCATCACCAACATCGTTCTCTATACGCTGCCTGCACGCTAGAGAATACATTCTACTGGTTTCTCCTTAGTAACATGCCCGTACCGCCGTTTACTCCTCAACAGTGTACTCAGCACAATGGATGACTTCTTTACTCCAGTCAGCAAGACCTACTTGAAAGCAAAACCCGAGGAACCTCTTTTGCAAGAATCGAAACCGAGCAAGAAGCCCGCAAAAATCGCACAACAAGATTCCACCGTCACCACCGTTGAAGATGGTCTGGAAATTCTGAAGAACCAGCCGGATTATGACAGCCTCACGGCCGTTCTCAGTTCTCTCGACCATGGCACGATTGCCGCCGCAGGCTTCAAAGTGGCAATGCCGAGCCCCGAGGCCGCGCAAATTATCCAATGCTTGGTTGTGGAAATCATTCCCAACTATTGGCCTCTGCTCAAGGAGGAGGCTCTTGGGAACTCGTGTACCCAAGACGCCGACAGCCCAAGGGGCCTTGAGTTGCTGCTGAAATGTCTGAGGAATGTCACGGGCCTCAACGCCGTCATTACGCGCATGAAAGCATTGATCCAGGAATCTAAAGCTGCCGCTCAAGATGTGAAACGGTCGGATCTGGCACTCAACCTATGTGTGTTACTCGAGGTTTGCTCGACGGTGCTGGGCAAGGATGAGCACCTCGCTATGCTGTGGACTGCAAGCAGCTCAGGACTAGGCTCTATGGTTGAAAGGAGACCGATGGCACATGAGTTTACTGCACTGATTGCAGGTGGAAGACTCATTTCAGTTGCAGCCGAGGCCGATGCCATCGCTAATACAGATAGGATCAACAAGAATAACCTCTGGATCGCAAACGGACATGACTACAGCAAGTGGGTGGGCAGGAGCATCACATACTGGGCGAAAAGTGACATCTCATCTGATGATGTCAAGCTCTGCTCCGAATTGTTTACGCGGTCTCTTCGCCTGGGCTACTCTGGTAAGTTTCTGTTCTCTCAAGCCATCCGATGTCGAACAGAATCGTTAACGTTCTTTCAGACGGTCTAATGAAGCAGCTCATCAGCGACATGCTGCTCGGTCCGGAACAAAACCGCAATGCCTTCTTCAAAGTTTTCGGCCAATTCTCCCAGCTCGAACAGAAGAGGGTGATGTTTGCTGCTCTGCAGTATTTATCCGAAGCGTTCCTCAACAAGCTGGACGACGCGGAGGCGTTAGAGCTCAATGTGACTATATCCGCCGCTGCGGGTGTCATCGAGAAGATAGTTTCTAACGATGAAAGCCGGAAAGCCCATCTGGTTTCCTGGCTAACTAGCTCAACCGGTGCTGGCCTCGGTGACGGTGTAGGGATCAGGCGTGCGGTCTTAGCTGCACTCGCACAAGACAAGGAATGTGCTGTTCTCGTCTTTGAGAAGAGCCTTTACCAATTTGGAGACCAACTTTACATCAAGCACTCTCCGATGATGCAGCAGCAAGGTAAGGTCCTGTTTGTTCTCCTCAATGTCTGGCCATTTACTAAGCAAAAATCACAGCTCATGCCCAGGTCCTGCTTCTGAGCGCTAGCTACGTCAACAGATTGTCGCCCCTGAAGCTCAAGATGCTGATGCGGTCCTCGGGTTATCTGAACATGGTATCTAACAGAATCGGCGCCTCGCAAGAGAAAGCCAGATTTCTGGGTATGGCGGTAGGCGAAGCACTTTCTGGCCTCATCGATGGGGGAGACAAGAAATTAGATTTCAAGATGGAAGAGATGGCAACTGAGGAAGCCAAGTTCTACAAAAACCTCGTCAGGACTTTGGACAACGTAGGACCCATTGAAGCCTTGACCATCACGCCAAAAGTGATAGAGAAGACGCGACAGTTAGCAACGAAGCTGAAACGCCCTGAGCCTGCGCCAAAGCCGAAGCAAACAGTCACTCCCTCCAAGTTCATCATCCAGGAAGTCTCAGACTCCGAGAGCGAAGACGAAGACCTTGTCCCCTATGCTAAGCCCGTCGACGACGCTGAAGATTCGGACGAGGACGCCACGCTCGTACGCCGCGACAAGCCGAAAGCTCCCGTCTACATTCGTGACCTTATCACCTATCTCCGCGACACAGATAATTACGACAAACAGAAACTCGCCCTCACTACCGCTCCGCTGCTGATCCGCCGCAAGGCTAATTTCGGCACCGAGGTTTCTTCGCATATTGATGAGCTCGCAACCCTTCTCGTTGGTCTGCAGGACAAGTTCGAGATTGAGGGCTTCAATGAGCTCCGCCTCCAAGGCATGGTTGCTACCGTTGTCGCTCAGCCACAGAAGATGGGCCAGTGGTTCGCAAAGACTTTCTTCGACGGCGATTACTCCATCTCTCAGCGTGCCTCGATCCTCATAGTTCTTGGCCTTAGCGCCCGTGAGCTCGCCGGGTTCGAAAAATCTGAGCACGCCGCCGCTGCTTCGTTCCCCTCGAAGCGTCTCCCCGAGAAGATGGAGGCGCTGTACCTCGACCCCTATACCGCATCAAATCAGCCTCCATCCTCATCCAGCCTCAAGGCCATTCCCACCAACGCTCTCGACACCATCGCCAGATCCTTGATTTCTTCTTTCCTAGCCCCTATAGCTGCCAACGCAGCAGACGCAGCCACCGGCCCCGATGTCCTCAAGCTCTCAACCTTCACATCTCGCCTTCCATCCAAAACCTCCAAGAAACCCCGCGTTCGCGCCATCCCCAACACAACGGCCTCTATGCTTGCCACTTCTTACTTTTTTCCCTTAACTGCTCGCTTCCAACATGCACTGCGGTCCCGCTCCGCCCGCTCCGGCGTTTTCATCCAGCCGTATCTCCTCTCTCTTTATCTCAAGACGCTGGCTATTCTCATCCACGCGGCAGGCCCCTCGACGCTGGCACTTCCACAGATGACGGCTGAGCTCTGGGATCTGCTCCTCGGCGTGCGGGCCCATGTCAATGGGGACATTCCTGGGACACACGCGGTGCTTGTCGCGTTGGCTGCTATGCTCGAGGTCAACGAGGCGTCGGACATGCGGCGTTTGTGCGAAATGCATCCACGCGAAGTCGTCGAGACGCAGGAATGGGTCAGTGGGGTGTTCAATGGCACACATGGTGAGGGCGGAGGGGAGGAGAACGATGTCAAGATGCTTTCTGCTGGGGTACTTGTTAAGTTGCAGGAAGCGACGGAGAGGTATCGTGCCTTGCTGTTAGGTGATATGATCGGTTTTTCATAGAATAGTCGCACAAACATAGTACCGTCTAAAGGAACGGATGCCATTACTAAATAACAGTATGTGACTATTGCCCCGCATGAAGCAGACGTTGTCCCTGTGCCCCGTTAGTCAACCAGATCATGATAGCGATACAAGTTCTTCTCCTGTGGGACATGCCCCTGAACGCCGTCATTCCATAAAAAGCGAGGTTCCTAGCCATATTGTCTGCCGTACTGTTTCGTATATATAAACAAGAGTCGAACAGTACGTTGAATTTCCTTCAGTTTGTCTCTCCCATAAAATCTTGTCTGCCACCCTTACGCACCGGCAGCGTTGAGAGATACTGATTGGCATGACTAAGATGCTCGCCAAGACTCATCGCCATTCGCCTCAGCTCTTCTTTTACTGCATCTGCGCTGGCGGAACCTTGCATTACCTCCACCGATGGGGGCGCAGGTGGTGGCGGCAACGGGAGAATGCCACTATCACGAGTGCCCGTTGAGCGTGGACCACCCAGGGAGAGAGCCGGCTGGGCGGCCTGCTGAGGAGTCAGGTACTCGGGATCTGAGTAATCGGCGCTATTGACGCTGTTGAACGACCGGTGCGTGTTCAACCTCAGGCCACCCTGGCCGTTTAAAGGTCGGACGGTGGCACCGGGCTCGGCCATAGAGAGGTCAACAACGCTCACGTCATCGTCTCTGGGAACCTTCGAAGCAAAGTCGGAGTCATCCGAAACATAAATCGAGGGTTCTCGGTTTGATAATGGCACATATATGGACGGTTCGCGATTTGACGCGGGGACATATATAGACGGCTCCCGGTTGGTCATGGGGACGTACAACGAAGCGTGGCGTTCAAGATCGAATGGGTTTGCCATGCCGACATCTGAGCCGCTCACAGAAGCAGCGTCTGAGTTCGCCGTGGACGGGCGGGTAAGTTCCGGCATCGCGTCGGCCAGGCCCATATCGAGATCGATCAGGCTGCCAGTTGATACGCGGTTGTTCTGGTAGGTGGTTTGTGGAACCATGAGCTCGTCGAGGTCGATCAAGCTGCCGCTGGATTCTCTGTTGTTCAACTGCGAGTTCGGCTGGGGAACCATGAGGTCACCGCCGTAGTTAGGGGCCGGGGCTGGATCAGTCTGGTGGTGGAACATCTGAGGGCGAGATGCGGAATTCGGTGCTGAGGGGACCTCCTGGAGAGCAGGGAATACGAAGGGACGATCATCGCTAAAAGAATGGTCTTCGTTTAATGGTCGATCCTCGTTAAAGGAGAACCTAGACATTTCTGGGTTCGCTGAAGCTGGCGGAGCCATGGAAGGAAACTTCCAGTCCTGCGTCTTCCTGTTCGGATTCAGATCCGCCGGGTCGCTCAGAGGCGGTTTGTTGAAATCCGGCTCGTCTCCCATATGATAATCAACAGATGCACGCGGTCCACCAGCTCTAATAGTATTCATGTCGACAAAATTAGATAGGTCGCTGCCGGACAATGACGCATCGAGATCAATGAGCGATTCTCTCACTGCCGTCGACTGAAGAGAGTCGTCTCGCAAGGGAAGATCTGAAGCTGGCGGGGGGATGGGCCTGCCATAATAGGCCCGGGAGTTATCCTCGTAGTTGGATATTGTATTCGGATCGAACACTTTTTCCAAAGGCGCCTTCATGGCGGCGAGCTGCTGTGGTGGCGGTCTCCTCCGAGCCTTTGGCTTAGCTCGCGACATCTCGTCCAGAAGCACTGGGTCGAAATCCACGTTTGAGCCATACACATCGTAGACTGCCTGAGCATCTGTGTTTTGAAACACCTGTTGGTCGAATGCCATTGTTGTGCTGAAATTCCACTCATCGTTCGCCATCGCTGTAGACGAAAAGTCGGAGTCGTCCATGCCCGACATGCCCTGGGCTCCACCTGGAGCGAAAAGGGATTTGCGGCTACCGCCTTGGGACTCCCAAAGCTTGAAGCCTTTAACCAACAAGGCTAGTGACGAGGCCGGATACTGTTGGGCCGTGTTGGCGATATAAGGATGTTTCTGAACCTCTTCGATAGTTGGCCGTTTCGCCGGATCTTCCTCCAAGCAGTACGCAACCAGGCTCTTCAGCCTCTCGGAGTACTGGTCGCCCTCAAGCCGTGGCGTGTGCGCTTTGATATAGTTTCCAAGCTGGTAAACGTCGATTCCAGCCATAACGTTCGGCGGAAGGCCAGAGGCAATTTCAAAAACCATAGAGCCAAATGCCCAGATGTCAACCTCTGTACCATACGACGTCGACTGGTCGAAAAGTTCTGGTGCCATCCAGTGAGGTGTCCCAATGAACGTTGATCGTTTGTCAAACTTGGTCTCAATAACGCCAGCGACTCCAAAATCGCAAAGCTGTACCCCGCCAGACTCGGTAACCAGAACATTGGCGCACTTGATGTCGCGGTGGATAATTCCCTGACGATGAACCCAGGACACGGCTTCAGCGACCTCCCTGAGAATAGGGATGATCCATTTCTCTTGCAAGCCGCCAGGCGCTGTGGGCTTCATGAGCGTTGCTACACTACCGCCAGCGCAATACTCGGTGATCATCCACATGGATTGGCCGACAGGCAACGCGTCGATGACATGGTTGATGTTTTTTGCACCGCTGTCACTGAGAAGTTTCAGGGCGTTCACTTCGGCCAAGAACTCCTTGAACGTGTCGGCAAGCTTGGGGTTGACGGTGTCGCTTTCTTCGATGTCAATGATCTTTACTGCAACAAGCATGCTGGTATTGATGTCGGTTGCTTTGTAGACGCGCCCAAAACTTCCCTTGCCAATAAGTTCATTGAGAAGATAGGGCGGCTTATCCTGTCCAGCTTTTGCCACCTCATCGTCCACCGCCGCCTGCATCTTTTTTGCATCTTCGAGGGCCTTCTGCTTCGTCACCGAGAAGTCGGGGCCTCGTACCTGAAGCGACATCTTGAGCGAACGATGACCGATGACAACGGTCCTGAAAACTGTGCACCTTTTTGCCTTTTTGCATAGACGTATATAGACAATGCGAATCAGTGTAAAAATCTCGGGTCAAGGCTAGTTGATCTTCGTTGTTCATTGATGTGTATGCCGAGTAGGCAAGATGTTCTGAGAGTCGGGAGTATTCATTGAAGTTAGGAGCTACGGATACCGCAACCTGATACGCTCAAGTTCGGGTCAAACACAGGGGGTGAGGTCGCTAGCACGGCGCCAAGGAAGACTCTAGCCAATCAGCAGCCGCACCACAAAAGCGAGGACATGTGCCAATGCTATATATATAGTCATCAAAACGTAATATCACCCTAACGAGCTCATGTAAACCATGTCCTTCTCACTCATGTCTTGGTTCACGATGCATCAGTTCCCTATAATATCTCATGTAGGTTCTCGCAAGTATGAGTAAAATCGTCTTATGTAACCGTTTCTCATTTCGACAGCTGTGTTCGGATTAGGTAAGGGTACGCCTCAGTTGGTACCCATCTTACAACCAACCAGAGAACCAGTCAGACTTCTTGCCTTCTGCCTCGTTGGTCCTCGTCTTATAGGCCCTAGGGCTTTCAAAGTTGCTCGCTTCACCATTCCATATACCCAGCCTTTTACTCTTAGCTTTGGCCTCTGCCGCTTTATACGCCTCCTCGGCCCCTCCCCACTCGACCCCCGACTTCGCCTCATATGTCGTTGCCAAGCCAAGCTTTAGCATTTCTAGGCCGACATCTTTCTTGAAGAGAAATCGTCTAACATATACTGTCGCAACGATACGGCCATACTGATCACGCCTATGAATGCGAACCCAAATGCGTTTGTCGAGGATGTAGCTCCTTAGCCATTGTAATGCTTCCGCGGCCCCGGGTTGGCCCGGTCGACCAAAATGCGCGCCCTCAGGAGCGTCGATTCCAGCCATCCGTACAGGTATCTGCGTTGACCTTTAGCGTTGGGTTTCGGAATCAGATTCGTAGAACGTACAGTTTTCCCTTTCAGTACGGTTTTGGCTGTGGGGACCTTCCTCAGCCAATCCCAGCCTGCCAGCCTTCCCCCCGGTGTATGAAACATGTGGAAGTTGTCGCCATCTCCCACGCTGGTGACTCGGCCTAGCAGCGTTCGTTTCCTGAATAGGTCGGGCTGGATATGGCCTGCAGTAGGGAACCTCCGCAAACGGGACTGGTAGAAGATGAAGGCTGCTAGTGATGCGACCGACGTTAGGAAAACAGGAGCCCACTCCTTTGCGGCGTGTAGTGGAGGATCAGGCTTTGGGAGGAGATCGTTCCACGATGTGGGCTTGGAGCGCGCGCCATCTTCCTTCTGGCTAGGTGTGGGGGAGCCTGCCGAGCTGGAAGAACTGAACGGCCATGGCATCTTCGAGTGCTCCAAAAGGAGTTCTGCGCCTGCCTAGGTACGTTCAATGGCGTAGGTGCGTGATGCTGTCTGTAACCTCCAATCAGCTCATCGGGACGTTAAGCAAGGCTATGAGAGGCTATAGCTATGATTGTGTGTTTGAATAGATCGAGAGCCAAGCTCCGATGCGTTGTGCATCATTAAGACTTCAATGGGATCAACCGCTTACCTAGTACCTCGTTATCACGGCTACAGCTCGAGTCGCGTTTGTGAGAGCTCACTCATTTACGATGGCATCCATGTAGTGTATACAGTATCAGGTACAGTACATACTGTACACGCTCTGAGGGCTGCGGCAAAACTGCGCTCCGCCAGGCCAATCAGCGAGGGCCCATTTTGAATCGATGCGTTCGAGCTTTCGAGACATGACGGCCACACTACACACTTTCGAAGGCGAATCCCCTCCATTTATCCTAGCCGGCCATCAGCCATTGGCATAATAAAGGAGGCTCAATTGGAGGCAGCACATCTCCTCGAGCTCTTTTGAAGCCGTCTCTCCACTCTACGATCGCGATGTCAGGCCTCTACCGCCTCGCCGGCTACAACGCCAAGAGGTTATGCCTGCGCCCGGCAGCAGCTACCACCCTCGCCGCCCGCCCCTTCTCGACAACCCGCCTGCGCCGATACGCCGATGCTTCTACCGAATACCAGGGCACGAGACTCACTCCAACCTCTGCCGACTTCTCTCGCGCCGAGGACCACTACAGTCTGACGCCGCCGAAGGACCAGGATGTCTTCTCCAAGCCTGAGGAGTCTGTCGAGGACCGAAAGATCCGCCACTACACTGTCAACTTTGGTCCCCAGCACCCTGCTGCTCACGGCGTGTTGCGTCTGATTCTCGAGCTCAATGGTGAGGAGATCATCAGAGCCGATCCTCACGTTGGTCTGCTTCACCGCGGTACCGAGAAGCTTTGCGAGTACAAGACCTACCTCCAGGCCTTGCCCTACTTCGACCGTCTTGACTACGTCTCCATGATGACCAACGAGCAGTGTTTCGCCCTGGCTGTCGAGAAGCTTCTCAATATCGAGATCCCCGATCGCGCGAAGTGGATCCGTACTCTCTTTGGTGAAATCACCCGTATCCTAAACCACCTTATGTCTGTTTTGTCGCACGCCATGGACGTCGGTGCCCTGACGCCGTTCTTATGGGGATTCGAGGAGCGTGAGAAGCTCATGGTAAGTTGGAACGACCGTGGAAGGAGGTGATACGAAAGTCCGACTAAACTATGTGTCTGTCAGGAATTCTACGAGCGTGTCTCTGGTGCCCGTCTCCACGCCGCTTACGTCCGCCCCGGTGGCGTCCACCAGGATATTCCCGTTGGTCTGCTCGACGACATCTACCAGTGGGCTACTCAGTTCGGTGACCGTATCGACGAGACCGAGGAGATGCTCACGGACAACCGTATCTGGATTCAGCGTCTTCAGGGCATCGGTGTGGTGTCTGCCGCTGAGGCTCTGAACTTGTCTTTCACTGGTGTCATGCTTCGTGGTTCCGGTGTCCCTTGGGATATCCGCAAGAGCCAGCCTTACGACGCCTATGATCAGGTTGAGTTTGACGTCCCTGTCGGTGTCCGCGGTGACTGCTACGACCGATACTTGTGCCGCATGGAGGAGTTCAGACAGTCTCTGCGTATCATCCACCAGTGCCTTAACAAGATGCCTGCTGGCCCCGTCCGCGTTGAGGACTACAAGATCTCTCCTCCTCCCCGTGCCGCCATGAAGGAGAACATGGAGGCTCTTATCCACCACTTCCTCCTCTACACCAAGGGTTACGCTGTCCCCCCTGGTGAGACCTACTCTGCCATCGAGGCCCCCAAGGGGGAGATGGGCGTCTTCGTTGTCAGTGATGGCAGCGAGAGACCCTACCGTGTTCACATCAGGGCACCTGGTTTCGCTCACTTGGGCGGTTTCGACCACGTGTCGAAGGGGCACATGCTTGCTGACGCTGTGGCGGTCATTGGCACGATGGACCTGGTGTTCGGTAAGTTTTGTCTCAGCTACTACAGAACAACAAACAGTGAGGCTAACGATAGCGTAGGCGAGGTTGACCGGTAAGGGTGTATTAGGGGATGGAATTCAAAAATGATTTTGAGGAACCTTTCCTTTTGTGTACTTGTAGAATGAAGAGACAGAGCGCCCACGTACATACCGCATCGTACTCTTTTCTAGAAGATTTTCTTCCACACTTCATGGACTTTCGATATGTCCGTGGTCTGTTGTCATTATGTGTGCTTGATGTAGGTACTACAAAATTATTTCCATGTATGGCATAATGATACAAATTGTGTGGCCCAGCCTAGCCTATTCCCACGTGGGCTGTTGATACAAGACACTGGATAAAATAACATGTATACATCTTCAGAAGAGCTTTGCTCCAGTGGTGGAAGCCTGGTCCATAAAGAACTTCTTCAGAGGACCCAAAGCATTTACCGCACTCAAACCAAGAGATCGCAATGGCACCAGAGGGCCGCTATCCACGGAATAGAGCTTGTGAAGCTTGTCGCAGACGCCCAATACGACGTGGTTCGCCACATACCGCTCTGCGTTGTATGCTTCGAGAGAGAGCGTTGATCCCAAGTCCTGGCCAGTAGAGACAGCTGTCTGTATGGTCTTGACCAGGCTCTGTACGTCACCTTGGCCCTGGTTTAAGCCCTGGCCGGCAAGCGGGTGGATCGTATGCGCCGCATCACCGACGAGTGCGATGCGCTCAGCGGTATATGTGTCGGCATGTCGCATCTTGAGAGGAAATGAGGCAACAGTGCCCTCCTGAACTCCGACAACTTGTTGAGGGATCGCCTTGTGGTCAAAGGGGGTGTGCTCCAATCTCCAGGCAAGTTCCTCAGACTGCCCGGCATGCTGTTTATGCATGAATTCGAGATCAACCGGGCTCAAGCAGAAGGCAGCATTGACCATGGCAATGAATTCTTGTGGCGGAAGGTTCTTTAAAAGCGCAGCATTTTCGGGGGTTGTAGACCACACCAGCGTTGAGTAGTTTCCGGGGAGCGGCAGCATAGCCACAGGGCCTGTAGGCAAGAAGCGTTGATATGCAATCTTGTTGTGCTCACCACCCCATCCCTCACCCTCCATCTGGAGAGTTGCAACGACGCCATGCCTACCGTAGTCCCAGCCTCGTGCCTTGATCCCAGCGAAAGTGCGAACAGGGCTGTTTGCACCATCGGCTCCAACCAAGAGTCGTGCATGCAATTGTTTCCCACCTGATAGATGAACGACGGGCCATTGCGTCAGGTCAAAGTCCTCCGTCTCTTGTCCAAAGCTGATATCCTCAACCTTTGCCTGGTCATAGATTGAGACCCCACCAAGCTCTTCGAGACGCCTCAAGAGACCCGAGGTCAAGTTAAGGTTCTCGCACATGTACGCGATGGTCTTTCCTGCCGCAGGGCTAGCGGGCCAATCGAACTCGATTCTTGCGCCACTAACACCGTCCCAAACCTGCATCTCGTTGTAGTCTTGAACACGCTCGCGCTTAATGTGGCGCCATGCCCCAATCATATTGAGATATTGCGCCGAGGTGGGTGTGAGGGAACTGCATCGGTTCGAAAACTGGCTGGAAAGGAGGTTCCAAGCGCGGATCTTGGAGAGGTCTTGGGCTTCGACAAGAGCTACCCTGAGGCGCGAAGTTACTGGATTGGCTCCTATGAGACATTAGTGGTATTCTATGAGTCTGGGCGAGTATACAAGTCGTACGGAGTGCAGTAAGAAGGCTGAGACCAGCTGGCCCGCCTCCCACGCATACAACATCATAGATGTCTGGTTCCGCAGTCGATGATGTTGAGCTCGCGTTCGCATACGACCGGCGAGCATAAGTCTGAAACTTGCGAGTACAGCTACGGCAGACGAACTGATTCCTTGCCAAAAGAGCTCGGGGGGGCGCCATGGTGTACAAGCCTTCAGAAGGGGGATTTCTGGGTTATACAAATCCACGATCACATGGAACGATCAATTGAGACGATAGTTTAAAAATAAAAAGAAATCGCCACATTGTAGCCACAGCTATGGATGGCGTGAGCCGAGATACCTTTTGGGTTAGCTCCTATCGATTAGTAATGTGGCTGGTTCAGGCAACCTGGACCCCTCGGTGCTTGACATCCCTGTAATCTTGAAGAAATGACACCCTGCCTGCAAGTCGCCCCCACACAAGGTAGGTATTTTTGCCCGCATGACCTGTTGCCACAGCGCCCAGAGGTAGCTAGTGCTCCTGTTTGTTGCGTCAGCGGGCTTTCATTTGACTTCATCAACATCTGTCCACTGGTCGCATCCATTGCACAACTTGCGTCTTACACCCATCCCCATCGCTCTGACCTTCTGCCTGCCTGCCTGTCAAGGTCGCAGAAAACCAAGGCCAAGTATTCTGCGCGACAGCATTTTGCGTTGTCATCCGTTCCTTGCTGCCACTCCAAGGTTCTACGGTGCAGACTACAAAGGTTGCTTTGAGCTTTCCTTTGCAAGTGTGCTCGCCACACGGATTTCCCTATAGAAGAGCCTTTTCTTCCAACGTTCAGTTTTTCTCTGCCTACTTTACTTGCTCTTTTCCAATATTGCTAGACCCCAACACGTCCAACATGGACGATTACGAATATCTCCAGCCAGGGTTCGATCCCAAGTCATTGACAGTACCCCGGTTACGATCGATCCTAGTTGCGCACGAGGTCCAATACCCTGCCACGGCGAAGAAACCGCAGCTTATTCAGCTTTTCGAAGATGAGGTCCTTCCCCAGGCAAAGAAGATACTGGCAAAGCAGGCTAGGGCCAAGAGATCAAGCAAGGGCATCGTCGACGCTGGAAGCTCTCAAGACACCGACTTCTTCGAGGACTACGACCTTGCACCTCCCCCACCCAGAGTAACAAGATCAAAGTCGCCGCGCAAGGCGTCCGCCAGGCTTAAGAGCGTGGAGCACGAGCAAGAGGCGCCGCCATCTATGAGCCCGACGAAGAGAAAGGTGCGCTCGGCAAGCAGGCAACTGCCTGAACCTGAGCCTCAGCCTTATGTCGAGCAGTATACCGAGACATATGCTGAAGCGGAGCCGCTCGTGTCCGTTCGCAAGCAACCCACCACTCCCAAAATGCCCAAGATCAAGCAAGAGGAGTCGGAGGAGGATTTCTTCAACCGGCGGGAGTCCGAGTACTTTTCGTCCGAAAACCCCTTCCAAAGTGGCAGCCCGGCTGCGCAGCTCGTGGTCAGCCCAACGGGGCGAAGGAAAACCACTGGCACGGAAGTGGCACGCGACAGACAAGACGACAGCACTCGACGACGGACAGATGGCCATCACGCTGGAGATGGACCTAGATCATCCAGAAAGTCTCATGCGTTCGAAGTTCCTGTTAGCGACTTGTTGCGCGATGAAACCCCCAGCATTCAGTCTCACGAAGTCGAAGCTGGAGAAGAGTTCACTCCCGATGCGCAGTTCGAGATGGACCAAGAGATGGCTGCGAGCGGCGAAAAAGCGCTTGCGCCGCGACGTACAGGGCCTGCTCGTCAGAGACGGAGTCTTTCCAAACCTCTGTGGGCTCTTGCTGTTTCGCTCTTTGGAGCCTACGGCGCATGGTACCGACAAGAAAAGGTAGCTGTTGGGTATTGCGGGCTTGGCCGGCCTGCAACGCAAATCATACCTGCAGATATCACAGTGCCCGATTGGGCCGTTCAGCTCGCTGAACCCCAGTGCGAGCCTTGTCCCCAGCATGCTTATTGCTACGAAGACTTCTCCGTCCGTTGCGAACCTGACTTTGTTTTGAAGCCGCACCCGCTGTCATTAGGCGGGCTGGTGCCCCTCCCTCCAACCTGTGAGCCAGACGGAGAGAAGGTCAGGAGAGTCAAGACTGTAGCTGACAAGGCTGTTGAGGAGCTGCGGGAACTACGTGCACAGTTTGAGTGCGGTGGCTCTTCTGCCGACGCTGGTCAGTCGACAGAAACCCCGTCCATTGAAGAAGAGGAGTTGAAAGCGGCCATCAGCTCGAAGCGGAGCAAGAAGATGAGCAAGCAAGAGTTTGACGACCTTTGGGTTGCCGCCATTGGGGATGTCAAAGGGCGAGAGGAAGTGGAAGTGGTACCGTAAGTCATCAGTCACCTTGTTTTGCTCTTCTCATGTTCCTCGACTATATCCAAAAGTCAATAACGTCAATACCCATTCTGACCAGTCAGTGTACTAACCAGATCGGTTGTGCCCGAAGTAGAAAGGCCAATTCCACCTCAATTTCAGACGCCTATCTCTCGTCCTCCTCTCTCGCTCGGCTTCCGATCGGCTGTGCCCTCAAGCGTTCAGTCAAACTCGGCCTGGCAAGACATCGACTCTCAATTGGATCTGTAATCTTCTTGGTCTTGGCCTACTTTTACATTCAACGAAGGTACAGGTCTCACAAAGCAGCAGTCGCGCAGGTTCCTGCGCTTGTCGACCTTGTCTTGTCGAGACTTGCAACGCAAAAGGAGCTTGGTGAGGAAGATATCGATGACCCTTGGTTGTTTCTACCCAACCTCCGTGACGATGTCTTGCGTTCGGTGCACTCACTCGACGAGCGAGACCGTATCTGGACCCGAGTCAAGGCTGTCGTTGAACAGAACAGCAATGTTCGCACCAGTCAGAGAGAGGGACGCAGCGGTGAGGTTGGTCGCGCTTGGGAGTGGATCGGACCTATCGCTGGGAACAGTGCCAGGAGGCGCAAGAGTGGACGTCATTCCTTCGCCGCAGACGTCAAAACTGAAGATACCGGTGAAGCATCAGAGAATAAAGCTGGTGCGCATTCGAAATGGGAAGAACCGCGACCCATCTACTAAAGAAAGTACGGGCGCGGGTAATGCTTGCACGTCTGTCTGGTGGGGTGTTTCTTTCGAGTTTCTGCGATCACACTCGATGATCGAATGTAACCAGTTTTCTTTTGTAGCAACGTTTTGCGATGCTTTCGCGGAACAACCTGGAGGCTTTTCCCTTCTCAATACTTCTTTGCTCATGACTTTTGGGCTGGCTTGAGGGCGATTTCGAAAGGGGCGTTTAGGCTCGTGTGCGTAAGAACCAAGAACATAGTTTCCTCAGCTCTGTCTGGAGAGAGCAATCACTGACACAGAATTGCATCATCGAATTTATGCTATGCAATTATATTTTGTGAAGTTGCTGGCTGATGAGAGATCTAATGCTGTTATGGTCAACGTGTAGGTATGATTGAGAGTCTGGTTGTCGCTTTTTCTGAGGGGGGCCCTTTGCTTGCTTGAACTGAGAATGTCGAAGCGATCGGATATGCGATGGGAGGTCGGCGCGGTCACATTCAATATGCTAAATATCGAACACACCAAGTAGAATATGATATGCTCTAGAAAAAACACCACAATTGAATTCGCGGCCGATGTTGAAGATGGTGGTGCATTTGCTGGGCTAATCGTTTCCCTAATTGAACACTCATTTCGCACGTATAGTAGCGGTCCAGGTCCTGTTTTCTCTCAACTTCTTGAATTTGGCTAATGCACAGGGTGTTTATTGACACGCAAGGGAACATAATCCCCTCGGACAAAGGAAAAAAACCTTCTCGCTTTCAGACTCTAGGGTGGGTTGGAATCTATTGGGCCTTGGAGGAGACGATCTCTGTTGTGAACGGGGCGTCAATCAGTATTGGTGCGGCAGACTCCGATGAAGGAGGGGATGATCGAATGACAGTACGTACTCTCAACCTCAGCGACGCTCTGCTGGAGGATCTGCTGGAGAACCTTGGGGTTCTCGAGCTCCTTGGTAACCTTGGCGATGATGTTCTCAGCGAGCTCCTTCTGCTGGCGAGCCTTGACCTGGCCTTCGTAGCGGACCCAGGAGTCGAGGACGGCCTTGGCCTCGGCGGCCAGGGCGGTCTTCTGCTGCTGCTCGTAGGCCTGAGCCTCAAGCTGAGCGGTTTCCTATCGTCGATATCCGTTAGCTATTTTATCTTCCTGTACAATTGATGTTCGGTCCACGCATATCGTCCGCCCATTCGTCCGTCCGATATGTCGAGATGTTATCTCCTTCCAGTGATCATCGATTGCACCATGATCCGTACCTTAGAAACAGCAAACAAGGACTTGGTGATGTCGACGACGCTGGACATCTGCTGGACGTCCTCAATACGGCCCTTGACAGCCTGAGTGTGGTCGGCGCGGGCCGAGTTGAGGATGCCCTTGATCTTGTCGGCCTGTCCCTGGGCCCACTCGCTGTACATCGGGCCTCCGTACTTGATCAAACCACCCCAGACGGCGAGCAGGCAGAAGGCGACGACGGTCTCCTCGTTGACGACGTAGTACTCGTTGCTGATGGCGTAGACGCTCAGGGCGGCGGACGAGGAAAGGATGGCAGTCTTGGAGAGTAGCGAGTTGCCGGGCAGGGAGTCGACGATGGACTGGGCCTTCTTCTTGGGGTCCTCGGCGGGAACGTTAGACGCGTTGCGGGCGCCGGCGATCGAGGCCGAGATGGCGGGCAGGGTACGGCGGGCCAGGGTCGGCCGGAGGAGGTTTGCGCCTGTTCGAGGGAGAGGGGACTACGTGTCAGCCACCTTATTCCGAAGTTTTCGACGTCATCGTGCTCGATCGGATTTGCCAATTGATACGGCAAGGGATCTGGGAGGATATCTGGACGTACCGACGGCGCTTCTAGCCAAGCGGGACGCCATTGTGAGATGATATGGGGTGCGGTATTAAGGACTTGAGGTCGGAGCTTGCAAGGTGAGGTTTGACAAAACCTTCGAGAGGTAATTGGCGCTAACTCGGTTACGGAGACAGTCACGTGATAATACGGATGTCCTCGGCCTGGCTGTCCTCTTGCCTGCGGCGAATTGAATTTGGCTACGCTCGGGGAGTCTCCAGTGGGACCCGAAAGTAGTCCCAGTGTACCTCGAAGGAAAAAAAATCCCAACGCAGGACCCGCTGTAAATTTGACAACGGCCTTCACGATTTATAACAACAGCATCATACTACCAGACAAAACTCGCCCAGCATGCCCGCCAGAGTCTCAGGCGAAGGTTTGAAGAGAAAGAGAATACCGCCGAAGGAAAAGTCGAAAAAGCGGTCCAAATCAGAATCTGAGTCTGAAGCAGAGAGCAATGAGAGCAACGACCCTCAGGCTGAGATCCTATTACTTGAGAATGAGATTCTCGAGTCCAAGAAGCATTACAACAACATTTCAAAATTGATCAAAACCACGAACGCTCACGAGGATGAACCTGAGGCGGCGACCCTGGCCTGTGTAGCTCTGTGCAGAGTTTTTGTGAGACTGCTTTCTGCAGGAGCTCTCGTCCCCAGGAAGGGTCTACCTGAAAAGGAGGCAATTGTTACGCAGTGGCTCAAGGAACGGTATTTCGAATACAAGGATGTGCTCATATCCCTTCTTTCTAAGGAGGATCTGGCATCGACAGCTTTGACGCTGGCCATGCGGTGTCTCAAGGTTGAGGCGCAACATCTTTACGAGAAGGAAGATTACATCTTCCCTCATAACTTCCTCGAACAGATCATCGCAGGTCTATTGAAATCAGACAGCGATGATACGCGTGTGGAGTTTGTAGAGAAATACTTGACCCAATACGACGACATCCGCTTTTCCACGCTAAAGGCAATCAAGTAAGTGTAGGAGGACACATTGTACGGGACTGATAGAAACTGACAGCTTCCAGGTCTCTGGCTGAGACGCCCGGGTCTTTGCCCGAGCACGAGCTTTTCGATGATGCCTTCGAGCTGCTCACAAACATTGGTGACGTACCCACCGAACTCGGCAACTTCTTCGCCGAGAGGCCCAAGAAGAAGTCGCACAACGTCAACTCCCTTCACCAACACAAGAAGCAAGGCCAGGATGCCTGGCTCGCTGTTCTCAAGCTTGCAGAAACACGAGAGCAGCGAAAGCAGGTGCTGGATGTCATGTCCAATGAGATTGCGCCGTGGTTCATCAGACCGGAATTGCTTGCCGACTTCCTTACAGACTCGTATGACGCCGGCGGTTCAATCTCGCTGCTTGCGCTCTCCGGTGTTTTCTATCTCATCAAGGAGCGCAACCTCGATTACCCATCATTCTACACAAAGCTCTACTCCCTCCTGGACAGCGAGATTCTGCACTCGAAGCACCGGTCAAGATTTTTCCGGCTGATGGACACATTCCTGTCGTCTACTCATTTGCCAGCGGTGTTGGTGGCAAGTTTCATCAAGAGACTGGCACGTTTGAGCTTGAATGCACCTCCAAGTGCCATCGTCTTTGTGGTGCCTTGGATGTACAACATCCTCAAGAGGCACCCGCTCTGCACGTTTATGATCCACAGGGAGACGAGGGACCCGGAGGCCAAGACGCTCATGGAGAAGCAGGGCCTCGATGACCCGTTTGTGGCCGACGAGGCTGACCCAATGGAGACGCACGCTCTCGACAGCTGTCTGTGGGAGATTGTGCAGCTGCAGTCACACTACCACCCCAATGTAGCGACGATCGCCAAGATCATGTCGGAGCAGTTCACCAAACAGTCCTATAATATCGAGGACTTCCTTGACCACTCATACGGCAGTGTAAGTGACATCTACAGTGGACGAGTAGGCGTATTGGTTGACTAACCGTTTCGCAGTTGCTCGAGGCCGAGATGAGCAAGCAGGTCAAAAAACAGCCCGTTATCGAGTTCCAGATTCCGAAAAGGGTGTTCCTCCCGAACGAGCCGGATTCTGGATTCCAAGACAACCTGGTGACGAAGCTGTGGAGCTTCCAGTGAGGCTCGTAATGAGGGTGTAAGTTCAAACAAGGAATGGTGGTAAAAATAGCTGCCGTCATGGAGATCGACCTACGGCATTTCTTTGTACACAAATTGGCATTTTGATATCCGGGTGCGACATGGAGGCAAGCATAGATGGTTACTCAAAAGTTCAGGTATACTTACTGTCAACGCAAGATGCTCGATTGAGCCAGATGGGGATTTACGAGAGGGATCACAATGTCTTACAATGGAATACTCTCGGGTCAAGCTGGCAGGGCCTCTCCGAACCTCAAAGCTGGGCAAAGGTTTGTCGGCGGAAGGATTCGGTTATTTGATCAAGCCTTACTCCGGGACTCCAGCGCGTGGTAGGCACATGAATTCTGTCCGATTCCTTAATGCCTGAGTCAAACGGCCCAGGACCGCCTTGCAACTAAAACACCAAACCCACTCGGCGTGAAGAGTTTCATGATGAGTTACAGGAGAGATGTGAAGAAATGAGGCGCTACTCGGCAATATATTTGGCGGGTAAGGGTTATTTGATACGCGATTGTGCAACGATATGATCTGCACTTGTTGGTGTCCAACTGACCCTGTTTCCGTGATGTAGCAAAACACCAAGTAGCCCCGACCGATGACTGGCATGTCGCAGCCAGAGTTACCCCGGGCTAACCTCATCCTTTGACTATACCAGCAGACAATTCATCTTCATCTATCATGGGCCCAGCTCCCGCTGCAGTCGTTGTTTCTACATGACTTATGTGGCAGGCGTGTACCCTAGCAAGAAGTACTGATTTCGGACGAATCTTATGTGTCAGGCGTGTACCCTAGCAAGAAGTACTGATTTCGGACGAATCTTGGATCAGACACCCTATGATACTGTCTACGGGAATCTTGCCTTTTTTGTTCGTTGGGGGGTTTTCAACATAGGGTGGGGGGGGGGGGGGGGGAGGATGTTGGCTAGGTACCTAGGCCTAGGTACCTAGGTAGCTACCAGACTTCACATGATCCATTCGACAGGTGGGAAAGATACTCAGCGCCCAGATGGCCGTCCCAATGGTCCTCCTCCTTGGAGTTTTTGAGTTAATGGTCGTGTGCCCACCTGCCGCAAGCGATTAACCTCCAGGGCGGTTAGTATTGCGAGGAGCTAAGCTTTTGAGCTTGCATGGCGGCCTGAAAGACTTGCGGAGTGGGTAAGCGTCCAGTACTCCGTACAGTATGTGGTCACTGCTATGTGTGCAAGGAAGAGTGTGTGGGCAGTCGAGAACATCTGGAGAACAATACTGCGTCACACACTGAAGGGATGCCCCGCTTAGCACTAGGACTCCACTGTGGAGGCCCTCACTCAGTGCTGGCCGCAGTTTTGCTTCGGTGGCTGTGGATACAGAACCGCTGCTCTCGGACCTCCATATGACGGAAACACCTGGGTGGATCTCGGTACAAGGTGCGTTAGGTGCTGGGACGGCCGGGCGCTCTCGAAGCAGCTTAGCTCTCGACACACTTGCTGGGTTGTTCCACCTTCCACTGACATCACCAAGAGTAACTGAGTGCATCGTTTCTTTTTATCTTTCGCTCTTTTCAACGCGATCGGCAGACTTTTCCCTCACAGACCCAGCGCGTAATGGTTGTGTTGCATTGCCCTCGTTTCCTTCCTAGCCTTCCTTCCAATGGCTGCGTATTCTGAGCCCTCGAATCTCCTCTACCACGGCCCCTTGGTACTTTCCACCATTCCATAGATAGGTGGTTGGTGTTCAGTCGAGCTTCCATGATTCCGCTCCACTCAAACCCGCAAGAGAAGGACCGCTGAAATCCACTCCCCAGTTCGCCCGCTTTCGTTCTACAACTGGAATCAGCCCCATCGCCACCAAACTTCCCAGGACTCGCCACACGGCACCATTAACATCTCCTAATCTACACAGACCTGCACCCACGACTGGGGTGACGCATCGTCACTATCATGCCTGATAACCCGTTCCAGCCCTTGGCTGCCCATCTGCGGACAGCGGGCCCCCCAAGAACACCCATGAACCCAGGCTCGACCTCGGCAGCACCACCTCCACCAACAACACCCTCGAACAATGCCAACACGAATGATCCGAACGGACAGCACCAGCAGCCACGCCGGCGCAAGAATCACCGTGGCGGAGCCAAAAAGAAGCGCAACCGCCGCAAGTCCTTCGCCATCTTGCCCGAGGAGTCGCACGACGAAGCTGTTGCGTCAGCGCCCGATCGTGACGAGTTTTACCGTCAGCGCAATAATCTGAGCAATACGAGCATCGAAAGCGAGACGCTTCTGGATCATCGGTAAGTCCCTTTGCTTTTGGAGCATGCTTACGGAACGACAATATGCTCAATGTGGGAAGCAGGGAACAACAACCGCCGCTCCGACCTCGAAGACCGTCCATCATGAATGCTTCTACCCCATTCCCCGCTACCACGACAACGACGCCGCAGACGGGCAGCAGGTTGCGCAATGCTTATGTCGGAGATAGTGCAGAGGACGATGAAGGGTCGTGGGACGAAGGTGCGCCTTTGTTGTCCAGGTCTATTCAGCGCTCTTCCACTGCCCCAATGTACCCCGGCTATGGCTCAAACGACCCTCGCCAGCGTATGAGCCGACGCGGGTCTAGCAGATCCTCCAGAACGAAGCTTGCAACTCCTTTTCAAAACGACAGCTACAACGTCAACTACCCCCCGTCGATGCCCGGGTCACCCACATTCCGGCCCTCAGACCCATTGAATCTGAGCTTCGGGGATGTTATGATCCATGACGACGAGATTGACATACGTGCTTCGCCATGTAACAGTCACAGGGGGAGCGTGGACTCTCGCTCAGATCGAGGCAGTCGCAATAGTTCATCGCCTGATTTGGCACGGAGGAACAAAATCGCCTTGACTGCCCAGGAGGACGTTTGTTTTCCGAGTGGCATCTCCGAAATCGGGGACGAGGAGGGGCACTCACAGGACCCAGAAGCTAAGCAACGCCCAAGGCGTCGTCGCCGCCGTTGGCCGGATCTCGCTATTCTGGAAGAGTGGAGCCGCTTCGAAAAGGAAGGCCGCAGCGAAGAGAGACGCGTCAAGCGCATCACGGAGCCTCAGCTTATCAACGGTCGCCTGCGACCCATTACCCGAGAATGGTATCGTGCTGAGGAGGACGCGCCTTATCGGTTCACTTATTTTAACGAGGAGTTTCAGAGCACTATTCACAGCCAAACGATATCGGAGCTCGTACAAACTGGCGGCAACTTCCAGGAGCTGTTTATTCCGGAGCCACGCGTCCTTTCCGATGACGAGAGCGAGGATAGCGAGGAGGAAGCCGGCTTGTTGCTGCTCTCCACACATCATTCCCACACTGGACAGAATGGAGACTCCCGAGATCCGAAGCGGCAACCATCCTTGGCAAACACTCAAACGGATGGTGAGAGACGGGATGGTGTCAAGTCACCAGACAAGACTTCGGGAGGCAGCTCTCGCGCGACGTCTGTTCACCATACACCCACTGGTGTCAGATCGCCGGTTGTAGGCAACCAGACCACACAGACGCCGGAGTTACTTGACAACACACCAAGGTATGGCGAGAGACCTGTATGGTGGCTAGACGTCCTCTCCCCGACCGAAGCAGAGATGAAGGTGCTATCCAAGGCTTTCGGTATTCACCCGCTTACAGCCGAGGACATCATGGTCCAGGAGGCGCGGGAAAAGGTGGAGTTATTCCGGCACTACTACTTCGTAAACTACCGATCTTTTGATCAGGACCAGAACAGCAAGGACTATTTGGAACCCGTCAACATGTACGTCATCGTCTTCCGCGAGGGTGTCATCAGCTTTCACTTCTCCATGACGCCACATCCCGCCAACGTGCGTCGTCGTATTCGTCAACTCAAGGATTACCTGATTGTCAACTCTGACTGGATCTCGTACGCTATCATTGACGATATCACGGACGTGTTTGTGCCGCTGATTCAAAACATCGAAGACGAAGTTGACGACATAGATGACGAGATTCTGAAGCTTCACTCCACAACTGGCAACACCAAACACGATGTGGCTGACGAGAAGGCAAGCAATGCCGGAACGTCAGTAGGATCCGAGGGTGATATGCTTCGAAGAGTGGGCGATTGCCGTAAGCGTGTCATGAGTCTTTACCGTCTACTTGGCAACAAGGCCGATGTCATCAAGGGCTTCGCGAAACGATGCAACGAGCGTTGGGAGGTGGCCCCGAGGTCGGATATAGGGTTATACCTGGGCGATATTCAGGATCATATTGTGACCATGACGTCTAACCTCAGTCACTACGAAAAGTAAGTTAGCTTGTCTTTCCGGCGCGCAACCTTCTACGTCAGACCTAACTTTGGCCCCTTAGGATCCTAGCCCGGTCTCATGGCAACTATCTGGCGCAGATCAACATCCGCATGAACGAGCGACAGGAGAAGACAGCGGACGTACTCGGCAAGCTAACTGTTCTCGGTACCATCGTGCTGCCCATGAACATTATCACAGGCCTGTGGGGTATGAACGTCTGGGTGCCCGGTCAGGAGTACGAGGGCGACTTGAAATGGTTCTGGGCGATCACGGCAGGCCTCTTGGCATTTGGTATGGGATGCTACCTGATTGCGAAGCGGGTTTATAATATAGTGTAATGACGAACGGGTCGTCCTTGCCTTTGCTAAATTTGTCGCAGGTGGTTGGATAGGAACGAAAAGCGAACGCGGCTTCGTTTTTTAAGGACGGTGCAGACAGGTCGGTGCATTCACGGATGGTAAACGGTACACGTGTCTGTACGCCGATCGCTGCTGAATAATGTCAAATATTCTGGTTTGAGCCCGCTTGGCGACATATGCATCAACGTCGACGCAACAGTGACCTTGTGTTCCCCCGTCCCAGCCTTTCTTTGCCAACTGGAAGAGCTTGGAATGACCAGACACATCTGGCTCCAGCTTGCATGCGCCTCCGCCGCGCACGACTGCCCAACACGGGAGGGGAAAGTAGACTTGGCTCGACATGAGAGCGATTGTTACTCTGACAGCATGCACTCACTCAGGTGAGGAATGGAAACGGGCGAAAGCGGGAAAACGGTAACCATGTTGTTTTGTCAGCGAGACCGACTTGATAGTCATTGAGTCGAACGTCACGGCACGAGGCCATATGCTTGCCACCAACGTCGCACCGCACGAGGTGAGTGAGTTCTTGATAAGCAGTCCTCAGGGGATAGAAAGTATAAGAAAGTGTTTTTCTGCTGCCTGGGCTGGTGGAAAACTGACTTATGTCTACTGGAGTGGTAGTTTTGAGTGAAGTATACCTAAATAGATTGGTGATGTATATAGATTACGTATAAGTGCCGTGTGGTCACTACGGGTTTATCTGTCTTCGATTTGTAGACATGCAAACGGGGGGCTGAGTACTAGTTTGATTGTACATTACGATATACACTATCTACGCTCCACAATATCAATGCCCATTGCTTCGTTAACTCCGATGTTGGTCGTATCAACCCTCAAGCCACTCATTCAATGTCCTCCATTGCCCATACGCTCACACCTGTCCGCTCGACATTGGCCTTGAGCTTGTTTAGCACGGCCTGGCGCTTAGCTCGCTTCGCCATCAGATCCGACTTCTCCTCTGCGCTAAACCCGCTCAACTTCTTGCGGGGCGGCGTGCCGCGGCCGCCGTACGAGGCCACGGATGACACGAAGGAGTGGCGCAGGGTGCCGGGCGAGGCCATGGCCGTTCGTTCGGGCGAAAACATGGTGGAGCGGCTGTTCCTTTGAGGCGTGACCATCGGTGAGCCCTCTCGGCTGTTTACAGATGAGAACCGGAGCTTGCGCATTTGGTTTTCCAGGACATCAATATCGCCGGAACGTTTCTCCACCATGCTTGTCATCTTGCTGATGGTGCGCATGACGGCTTCAACAGTGGGCATGTTGGAATTGCCCTTGCCAGACGCACTGCTTGTGGCGGCGATCCTTGTCTTGAGAATCGTCAACGCCTCCTCGGCTTCGGCAAGCAGCTTCGTGAAGTTCGTGTATTCACGGCGCAGTTCGTTCTGCTGGCTGGCTTGTTCGGCACTCAGAGGCAGTGTGCGGTTGAGGTCGGCCTGTTCGGGGTCCGTCTTGACCATGATTATCTTCTTCAGGTCGTCTTGCTTCGAGCGAAGGCGAGACATCTCACGGGCAAGTTCGTTGCAAGCCTCAAGCTTCTCCTCAACATCGTGGACACGTCCTTCCTCGAGATCTTGAGCCAATGATCTGTCAATGACTTCCCCAAGTTCGTCAATCTCAGAAAGAACCCAGCTGTCGGGGTCCTCGAGATCTTCCTTGCGTCGACCACCCGCCTTGAAGTTGATATCGTGTGCCATGAGGAAGCTGGCCAGAGAGCGGGCATTCAGACCAAGTGTATCAATCATCGAATTGATGTCACGGTACACAGCTTCAACCTGGGCTGGGATAGTCTCCTTGGCCGATGGTACCACGTTGGAATGTGCAATGAAGTCGTCCAACTTGAGTGATGGCTCAATCTTGGACACAAGGATCTTCTGAATCTCGTCGTCCTCCTCGTCCTCCAGCGTTTTGGTCTCTTCTGCCTGACGTCTCTGGCGCGCAATTCTCTGCTGAGAGATGAAGTGGTCTTCGGCGGGCTTATTGCTAATAATCGACGAGCCCATCTGAGAAGGCTGCTTCTGTGCCGCAAGGATCTGGGAGGCCATGCCCGGGGCGCTAACCGAACGAGCCGACTCCTGGCGCAGCATGCGTCCTGGTACAGCACCCCCTCTGACCGGACTGGGAGAACGAGGACTGGTTTGCGAGGGGCGAGGGAACATAGGAGCATTGCGGCTGAGGTCGCCAAACAGTGATGCTCGTGGCCTCTCCTCCTCGGTGCGTGGAATGGAGTAGGTGCTGCTGCTCACCCCACCGAATGAGCTCTGCGGGGTCATGCCAGCTGTAGGCGTCATTGCCGTCATAGATGGACTAAGGTCCTTGGAAACCATCACGCCGCTGCCTTCAGACCCGTCATTGTCCTCCTCGTCCTCGTCCTCAAGGTCACTGCCGTGTTCACTCTCAGGGATAGTCGGAATGGGAGGCAGGGCATTTTCCTTGGGCTTGGACAAGAAGTCCGGAGGCAATGGGGCGTCGTCAACTGCAGGAGTATTGCCCCGCGGCGTAGACGACCAGGTTGCTGAGGAAAGTGACTGCTTGGGCATCTTCAAGAAGTCGGGAGCAGTGGCCGGCGCTGTTGATTTGGGCCTTTCCAACCCCAGCTCCGGCTCCGCAGAAGGCCTGGAGTCGTCATCCGCTGGCAACGGTAGCGCCTCGGAGGGTGTGGTAGGCTCTGCAGGTTTGCTTGCCTTGGGCGTAAGGAAGTCGGGTGGAAGCGGTGCCTCGTCAACTGGGGTGGTGCTTCCCTGAGGCTTGGAAGGCTTGAGGAAGCTGGAAGCCAGCGGCGCGGCTGCGGCTTCTTGCGTTGTTGTGGCCTTTGGCATTGATAGAAAATCGGGAGGCAGAGGTGCATTGTCCACCTTGGGGGAAGACTTACTTCCGCCATCTGAAGGAGCATTGCCTGTGCCCGAGGAAGACGAAGATTCTCCTAGCGGATACTCATTCTTGCTTGTTGATTCAGGGGGCAGAGGGGCGTCACCCAGAGACTTGTGTTCGGATTCGATTTTTATGTCCGTCGTCTTCTCGGAGGGCCTTGCGGAGCCGAATAGACCCCCGGTGGCTGGTTGCGATGGGAAGCCGAACAAACCACTCTTTGGGGCCGACGTTGTGGTAGTCGCTGACGTAAAGCCAAATTTGGAGGGTGCGGGTGTTGTTGTAGGGGTGGTCGATTGACCGATACTAAAGATCGACTTCGCCTTAGGTGTCTCATCCGTTGTGTCCATTCCCTGGTCCCTGGGAGGAGTTTTCTTCTCAGCATCTCCAAGAGCAGAACCAAAGTTGCTGCCGAAGAGGGACGATCCGCCAGCACCAGGGGTAGAGGGGTTCTCATCATCATCATTCGCAGAGGGGTCGGCTTTGAAGGTGGTTCCCAGCTTGAACGGCTGGCTAAATGGATTGCTAGTCGCAGGGCCACTCGAACTTGGCGGGGGGAAGGCCGTATCCTTTGAAGTCATAGACGGCTGAGCACCTGTCCCAAAGGGACTTGACGAGGGCTTGCTTGAGAACACGCTTCCACCCTCGCTGCTCTTGTCACCAAGCGAAGCAAATCCGCTAGATTTGGCAAAGCTGGCGAATCCTCCAGAAGCTGGAGCAGCCTTAGGGGTCGAGTCGGATGCGCCACCAAAGGGGCTCTTTGCGCCTGAATTGCCAAGACTGCCGAAGCTGGATTGACCGAACACCGGTGACGCAACCGCAGTTGAGCTAGATGCACCCCCTGATGCCCATGGTGACGATTTTTGCCCGAGTGTCGATGACTGACCAAAGCCAATCGATGAGGGTTGGCCGAACGCAGGGCTTGAAGAAGAAGAAACAGAGGGGCTCCCAAACGCGCCGCCGCTGCCAAATGCTGACTTAGGGGCAGAAGACTGGCCGAACACAGAGCCGGATGCTGCTGAAGTGCCACCAAAGGCACCGCTGCCGAAGGCGGAACCGGTAGAAGCCGCAGGCGTGGTGGAACTTTGGGTGGTGCCACTTCCCCAAGGTGAAACCTTCGCACCGAGCGTTGAAGAGCCGCCAAATGTCGGTATCTTAGACCCACTAGTACTGAAAGGTGAGGGCTTCTGTGCCGAGCCTAGAGAAGAAGTTGAGCCAAATGCCGGCGTGCTCAAAGGGGTACCGAATGCTGGCTGGTCTGAGGCGGATGCGCCCGCTGCTGGTGCCGGTGTTAACGAGGCTACCGCAGGTGGCGCAGAAGTGTCGAGTGCGGCCATGCCGGGATAAGTCGTGCCTTGCCTGATGGATTCTTCATACACAATCCACCATGCGCTTAACACGCCTTCGTGATTCAGCACCCACAGGCCTGGCAGCGGGCCAGGCGAGTCCTCAATCTCTTCATCTGCAGGGAGAGGCTTGTAAACCTTGTCCTTGCTCGAAAGATCGAGGGCGACCCCGATAGGAATGGTGTTGTCGAAGCTCTCATTCATGGGAAGAGAGGCGCGTTTAGAGTCATCCGCCAACTCTGTTGTGGTAAAGACGCCGGCAGTGTCTACTGGGTGGTCAGCTGTCAGAGGCGATTTGGCCCTGCTCAAGAGGCCAATATCTGGCGAGGCGGTAGACGCCACAATCAGGAGATCCTGCAGGTTGGGGGGGAAGTCCTTCAGTCTCAGTATCGAGTGGTGAGGAGTCTTCTCGGCGCCAAAGGGGTCGACAGGGTCGGCAAGTTTTTGGAAAGTAAAATCTGACGGCATCTTTCTTGTGATGATGTGGTAAACTGAAGTGGGAGGAGATTCGGACGTGGAAGTGTGAATCGCGAGGAAGAGGTGGTTCTCCAGCCAACTCAGAGAAGAGACTGAAGCCGATTAGTTCCTAATAACAGCACGTACCAGACCGCGAAAACCTACCGTGAGCGTTGGCCACGTTCGGTGGCCGTGGGATCTCGCCCTTTCCTTCGCCCTCGGGGGTCATCTGGAAAATGGTGCCATCCGCCAAGCCCGCTACCAGCTGCTTGCCCTTCGTGCTCCAGCTGATACAGCTCACTTGCGCCTTGAGCGAATTGCTGAGTTGCCTTTCCTTCAGGTTCGCGATGTACAGGTTGCCATTGTCCGTTACAATGGCGCACAGTTCCGCCTTCTCGATTGTGGGGTTCGGAATAAGAGTTCTCAACGTCTCGCCGTTCGTCGCAAGCTCGAACGCAGCTTTTGTACCACCCTGGAGCAGGCTATTTACTTCGTAGACAGCGAGCCCGCCCCCGCTCTCGGCGGAAAGGATCAGGTAGTTCTCGTCGGCGCTGAAAGCAAGCTGCGACACCCTCATAGGTATGGGCAGCTTACCCTGAGGTTCGAACGCGCGGACGTCGGAGTCGCCGTCCTTCTCGGTCTCGAAACCCTTGCGTACAGATTCGGTCGACGCGATCGTGATGCCATCGGGGCCAGCCGCGGCGACGAGACCGCGGCGGGCGGCGATGCTAATTAGCGAGGCCGTATCGGCGGGTGGCGGAGACCACGCGGATGTAAGCCGGAGCTTCGCGTCGGTGGCAATCGACTTGAAACCAAGCGCCTGAACAGAGTTACATGGTGAGCCTCGAACTTGCAATAGACATCGGCATCGACGGTGTCGGTGACCAGATCTCACCTCGGTCTGGATCACCTCCAGCTCGGGGCCTTGGCTCAGTCCTCCACCCCCAGCCGTGCTTCCAAGCATGGAATTCCCTTGGTTTCCGAAGCTGAAAGCCATGACTGTTGCGACCTGACCAGCTTCTGGATGGAGGACCTGCAAGTCAAGGTGGTCCTTCGCATTAACTGGAGGGGTCGTGTTATTTATAAAAACCTTTTTTCTCTTGGAATGTTTCCTTTTTTCCCCCTCCCCTTGCTTCGCTGTGGTTTGCCGGGGTATGTAGTGGTTGCTGTAGCCGCAAGGTTAGGCTGCTGCCGTTGTTGTTGCTGCTGTCGCAAATAACAAATTGTTCACCAACAAACGAAGAAGAAAAAGGAAAGTAACAGGCGAGAAGCTTGCAGAACCCAACAGGACTTTCCCAAGTGCTGTGACTGGCAGAAAGAGAGGATTGGATCAAGTCTCGCGCGTGAAAACACGGTGCAATTGGTAACAAAGCGGAGGCGCCACTCGAGATATGCCTTGGAAGATTATTGCACCTTCTGCTCTTGCCTGGGCTCGTCTGGCAATTGTCTACCTAAAAATTCCAGGTTCGTAGCTCTTTGCTCCTGGTCCGTTCGCCTGCCAATCCACCATGGATCTGAGTCACGTGCACCGAGCTCATGGATTTGGGGCGCTTCTTGGCCAATCAAGTTCCACCAGGCAGCTCTGTTGGATACGTCGGGGTGCCTTGCATGAGCTCCTGTCCCCTCTCAAACAGCGGCAACGGCCATCGAAGGCAGCTTTTAGCCTCGTCATCAGCTCCCACGTCCACCCTCAACCTCACTCGATCCCCACATCTAAAGGACATTTCCTTCAAACTAGACATCACCGACGACTGATGAACACGAAAACATCGACGAATTCGACGACGTAGATATCCCGAAAAAAGCGTCCGGGGTGCCCAGACAAGTCAGCAACGATGCCTGGCTTCGACTTCTCCAACTACAACCGCAATGCGGCCCTCCATGCCAGAGGCGTCCCGCTTCCCAAGGCGACGAGCACAGGTACCACCATCGTAGGATGCATATTTGACGGCGGTGTAGTGGTCAGTGACCTTCCTGTTTCCTTCCTTCTCATTTTCAATCGCTTTCCCAGGCTCCTTATCCATTCCGCCTCGCCCTCTAGAGCACCCTCCCTCTAACCTACTGCACCTACCATACTACAGTTACTAACGCTTATGACTCTCTAGATCGCCGCCGATACAAGAGCCACTTCGGGCCCCATTGTTGCCGACAAGAACTGCGAAAAGCTGCACTATATCGCTCCCCAGATTTGGTGTGCGGGTGCCGGCACCGCCGCCGATACAGAGTTCACTACGGCAATCATCTCCTCCAACCTCGAGCTCCATTCCCTTTCCACGGGACGCAAGCCCCGCGTCGTCACCTGTATGACCATGCTCAAGCAGCACCTCTTCCAGTATCAGGGTCATATTGGCGCCTACCTAGTCGTTGCCGGCGTCGACCCTACAGGCACCCACCTCTTTACCGTCCACGCCCACGGCTCCACCGACAAGCTCCCCTACGTCACCATGGGATCCGGCTCGCTGGCCGCCATGTCCGTCTTCGAGACCAAGTGGAAGCCTTCGCTGACCCAGGACGAGGCCGTCGAGCTCGCCAGCCAGGCCATCCAGGCCGGTATCTTTAACGACCTCGGCTCCGGGAGCAACGTTGACGTCGCCATCATCACAAAGGACAAGACTACACTTAAACGCGGCTTCGTCAAGCCCAACGAGCGCAGCGCCAAGCTCAAGAGCTACGCCTTCCCTAAGGGCACCACCGCTGTGCTTAATGAGAAGATTATCAAGAAGAATGAGATTGGCCGCTACGTTAGCGTAACAGAGGTGCCGGCCGGCGAGGAGATGGAGGTTGATACCTAAGCAGATGGCTTTTCTTTTTTTTAGTCTTCATGAAACGAGGGCATCCGACGGGTTGCCAATGAAGTAATCCCGAAATGGGAGGATTCTGTACCAATACAATGATGGCAATAGATGGGATTGATACAAGCCGTTCTCCCTCCCTTGGTGCATTGAGACACAAGTCGACAATCGAGACATCACCAAAACCAGATGTATGACTACCCATAATAACGGCCATGTCAAGCCTCGGTGGAGACAGTCATCATAAACATCTAAGGTTCAGTATTCAGCCAACTGTTTTCAGAGATTTGAACATAAAATGGGCGATGGTGAAGGGGCACAAACGCAGAGGGAGGTCTCGTAAGTCATTGACCGTCGATGCTGCTGCCTGTAGTTAGGAAGGCGGGCAGAGCTCTCTGTTTTATTTCTTATACGACAAAAGGAACCCCTGACAAAGGAGCGATAGAATCGCTGCCTCCCAGTGACGAAAGTGGTATGTATAAACAGGAACCAAGTACGTTTAAACAAGGCTAAAAGGGTCCTTCCCATCACTTTCCGAGCCCCCTTGTGACGCAAAACCATAGACGCCTCAATCTCCTTGCATTGGAACCTTCCACGTCCCTTTCTGACCACATTTTTTCATGGCACTGGTTGAATGCAGAAAATGGCATAATTCCCAGCCATTAAATTTAAATGCCCAATAAAAAAAATAAAAAAGAGCTGCACTCCGCGGAGCCAGCCTCCCAGAACTCCGAAGGGGTATGAAGGTGATGTGCTGATGCAGTGGTCATGATCCGTGAAATGCCGCTAGACGGTCCGAGCAGAAAGAACTTCAAAAAGACTTATCGCTAACCAGTCTTGATGCCGAACATAGTCCGTGATCTAGACTTGCTGCGAGGCTTCTTGTTCGTGTCGTCTTCGTTGTACTTCGACTTATGAATCCTGTGAGGCACATATCAATATTGCGTCCCCCTTGATAAACCAGAAGCAATACATACCAGCTGTTGCCGACCATGTTCATCCCTTTGGCTTCGGCCTGTCTGTAGAAGCCAGCTGCCTTTTTAAGATTCTTCTTGCACCCAACTCCTTGAGCATAGCAAAATCCAGCCTCGGCCAGTGCATCAACATCACCCCAAGCTGTTCTTTTGGTCAGCGTTATATTTTAGCGGAATAACGGGGTTGCACAACTTACATCCGGCGATCTCGAAGCATCGCAAAGCAAGAGCCTTGTCCTGCTCGATACCCCATCCATTCATATGACTCACGCCAAGTTCATAGATGCTCAGAGCGAACTGCGCCTTACGGGTTCTTCTCTCCATGGCATCGACAAACTTGCCTTCCTTGACATGGTCCTCGTCATCAGCAATCTCGAGGCTGGCGCATTCAGCGGCCTTTCTCAGCCACTCAACACCCTCTCGTTGGTTAGGCCGCATGCCCCACCCATGTCTGCATGCCAGAGCATACAGAAGCATACCCGTAGGGTTGCCTCCCTTAGCGGCATGTCGCAGATGGTAGGTCGACTCCTTGACCGAGCCGTTTTCGTGGCACTCAATGCCTTTGGCCAAGTGCTCCTCTGGGGTCATCTCAGATGTTGTTGGGGCGCCCGAAGCCAGGGAGCGCGGCGCCTTGAGAGTGCTGTTAGAGTCGCTGGTAGTCGTTGACATGGCAGTCTGGCCTCGGGCAGCGGCTTCGTAAACTGGGGAAGTGCGAGTACGACCCCTTGGATCTTCCTCGGAGCCCCGGCTCTCTGTGGAAGGACGACTGGGGTTTGGGGACGGCTGTGGTGCGGGGCCGCCGCGATCCATGCTCTGCTTCCCATAATCAAATGACGGCTTGGCCAGGCTGAGGTCATCAGGTTCCCCTGAGCTGGACGGCCTAGTCGGGGGCGAAGGGGGCGCTCCACGCTGGATGGCTTGAACGTTGCTAGGGAGCGTCATGGGGAGCTCATACTGGATCGATGTCTGAGGGTGGGTGTCCAGAGGAACTGATCTTTGAACAATCTTGCCTCGAGGAAGGGAGTATTTGGAGTAGATGTATGACGGAGCGGCCTTACCATCGTCCGGCAAGTAATCGGGGAAGCCTTCGCTGTTAATACTAACAGGAGTGTTGGCCGAATCGTCATTCGCAAAAACGAAAGACGGCTGGCTGTCTGATGATGCCTGGCGCGTTGGAGTTTCTAACCCAGGAGTACCGGCGCGACTCATGGGTCTCGAGAAATTGAAGGATGGCCGCGGCAGAGGCAACGAGGCATCGGAGCAGACGGAGGGCGAGCGTTGAAAGGGGCCAGGGTTGAGACTTGGAGAGGTCGTTGACGTGGCATAAGCGCTACAGCTCGACAGTTTTCGTGCGGGCATGGACTGAATCGAGTTGCTCATGTCCTCGGTCGAGTTATCGAGTGGCGAAGACATGGAAGTCAGGGATTGCGCACCAAAGTTAGGCCGTGGAGGTGCCAGCCCTGGTCCATCAAACGAGTGCCCCTTGGACGGCTTGCCGGGCGATCCAGTCAACGAATTCTCTCGCGATCGTACAGGCGAATGCAAAGGTAATGAGCGGTCTTTTCTAGGGGGCGAAGTTTGCAGATGCGAGTCGCTAGAGGAATGTTCCAAGGGTGTCGGAGACTGTTCCCTTCTGGCACCAAAGAACATATCGTTTTGGCCTTCTGCCGTTGACTCCAACGCTCGTCCACGCATCGTCTCGGACAGCGGTTGGGAAGGCAAAGGGATGCATTCGTCGGGCGTGGGCGGGATCCGGCTCATTCGAGGATGTACTGACACGGGTCGGTCCTTCTCGGACGGAAAGGCGTCCTCCACTTCGGTTCTCAATCCATACCCGGGGTTCTGAAGTTCAGGGAGGGCGGCATCCTCCGATCCTGAGTCGTACATGGAGCGGAAATAATCTGACCGGCCCTGGACAACCAACGGGCTCTCCGTGGTCAAAGGCGGCAGTCGACTCACGCGCTTCCCTTCACCGTTGGCGGCAGCCTGAAGCTGCCTCGCAAGGAGACGACTCTGTAGGGCGAATGCATCGAGAGGGGATAGTTCGGGGGGCGCCTCGCCGGCGACGTGAAGTCTTGGGGATCGCAAAGGTCTCGACACATTGGACATGCTCGAGGGCGCCCGAAGGTCAATGAAGTTGGGGCGCTGCGGCGACATTGTCGGTCGGGATCTCGAGCGCGTCTCGCTTTATGTTCCCATGCAACGCGATGCAAATGTCGTTCTGGTCGTGAATTAAGTTGGGAGAGTCGACACCTGATCGATCGGGAGATTGGGCGGGCCCAAAAAAGTGGTTGGTGGTTGGAACGTTGGGGGTGTAGGTCAAGTCCTGGCCAAAAGATCGTTTATGGCGTCAGTCCAGACTAGGAGGATGCAATGTACAGGTCGAATAACAGGTCTCTGTACTGGTGGTGGGTGTGGCTGCCGAGAATGCTACCAACCACCCATACAAGGAGTGAGTCGGGATCGAAACTAGGCCGGCGAGTATCTCAAAGCTAGGAGTCGAAAGTTAGAAGGAACAATTGGAGGTGGAAGCTCGACGTGGAGATGAACGAGTGTCGTCGTCGATTTTCTGAGCGGTGCTATTGGCAATGGGGATGTATCCGTAGAGCGGTCTTTCTTTAGAAACAGGCAAGACACTAGCGAAGGGCGGGCGTGTCCGTTTTAGGTCTGGTGGGTAGCAAAGAAGGCGCAGCAGCCATAAAGAAGGCGAAAGACGAAAGACAAAAAGATTGTCTAAAGGAGGCGAGAGACGAACGACCTGAGGTAACCTGAGGACGTGTCGAGCCAAGTCCAGTGGGTGGATGTGGTCTCGGGCCAAGAGCACACAAGCAGCGGGACGGTTTGTTCTCGAAGGTTGGGTTGGGCTGGTAATAGTATTCGTACGTGCCGAACTATCGCAAAAGGCAGATAGGATAGGTATGGGACACGGGCACGGGCAGTTGAGAAAAGGGGTGGGGAGAAGGGGAGGGGGGGGGGGGGGGGCGAGGTAAGGGGAGAGGATATGATGAGAGTGAAGCGAAGTGAAGCGGGAAGCAAGAAGCGATCTATCTCTGTTTCCCCCAGAATCGGACGGATACGAGGGAAAAGGTCATGAGCAGCAGGAGCTAGGGCGACTGGTGGGGGATAGGTAGCACCGTAGCAGCGGTAGCGGTGGTAGGATTGTGGTGTGAAGCAAGCGAGAATAGAATAAAAAAAATAAAAAATAAAAAAAGAGGAAAGGGAACGGGAATGAACAGAGTGTAAGAGGGAAAGAAGCCAATGCGCCTGAACTTGTGCTGGGAATGCCGTTGCATGTACGGAGTACTGATGTGTACCTACATGAGTTGAATACTGCAGGTGGACTTCGCATGCAGCTGTCAGTGAACGGCACATTATACCTAAGGTTGGCCAGCCGGCAGGCACCTAAAGTAGGTAGGTAGCTAGGTAGGGACGGGAGCAAGTGGCCCAATCGATCGTGGGGACGGAGCGAACAGACCGAATTAGGCTTAGCACCAGCTGCAACGCTAAAGGGATGACCTCCTGAGCATCTTTAGCAGCGTAATGTACCTACCTACCTTAGGGGAAGGAGGTAGATACCCGAGGTACTACATTAAGTAGGTAGGTACAGCACAGAAGACGGTGATACGTACCGGCAGGTACGTTCCTGGAGCTCGCAGGGAGAGCATGGTATAACACCATGTCATGTATCGTACACACCGGTAACGCAGCCACGACCTTGTCCAGGGCATCCCATGCGAGCCACAAAAGCAGGGGAAAGCAACAGGAGAAGGTATCACAAGAGGAGGCCCACAAGACACAAAAGCACTTACGTCTCTCAATCTAGTGTTAGGTAGTGCAGATTCATCATCCAGGCCTACCTAGTACTAACATTCAGACCTCTTTTATCTGTGGTACCTCAGTAACAATACGAGATAGCGCTTAGTATTAGGTATTTGATGGCTTGCCCCCTAGGTAGCGTCGTCTGGGATGCAGGTACATGTGAGCTGCCAGCAGGTCTTAGGTTAGGTACTCCGTACAACGCAGAGTAATGCCATCGCATTGCAACTTGATATATTAACTTTAAGCCCCAAATTTCCTTTCTTTAATTTCAATTTATTTTATTTCATTTTTTACCTACTTCTTTGTCTCCTCTCTTCTTGTGTTCTTTCCTTCTCTCTCCTCCCCTTCTCGTACTTCTCCTCCTCTTCTTCATCCTCCCCTGTCGAAACCCCCTTCCCCTCATCCATCCCACCTGTGACGCCCCCTTCGACCGCCTAAGCCCTGTGACCTTGCGACCCTGCGTCCCTGCGCTTAAGCCGGAAACAGCACGTCTCCAGTTCTTCTCTGTCACTGTCACCTTGTTCGGTCAATGCTTATGCGGCGTCGTCCGTGGCAAATGATAGCGCTGCCACAGTCCGTTTTTGCATACATCCATGTCTACTTTGGGACAGAGGCGAGACCGTCGAAGGCTACGTTGGGGTATGCCGATTGAGTACGGATATGTAGGCTAAGGAACTGGGCCGGTGTGGCGATCAGGCGAGTCCGTCAGGGCACATCCAATGACCTGCGGCTGATCGGTCGTACAGCGCTCGGCTTGGCCTTTGACACGATTCAGCAAGCATCGATGATTCCGGTGATTATAGTCATGGCCCATGGACAGCCAACTTCAGGTCAGAGTAGAAGACGTCTAGTACAAGAGGATCGCAATCCGTGCTTCACTTCATCGACAGCCCGCGTCGCCTTGCGCTCAACGTCATGATGTAAAGATGCGCTAGGCATTCATCATCGCTGAGCATGTCAGGTGGCCTTGCTTCGACATGCATGACGGCGCAGGCGGCGACCTCCTCGACTTGGCAGCAGTCAGTCAGTCTGGTACGGAAGCAGAAGCCCTCCTCCCTCTCTGTGGTACCATGCTCTCCTCCCTCAGGAACACGCACCTCATTCACTTGAAAGCATGCCACCTCAACGATCTGTGTGCTATGAAACACAGCGACCCCCAGGATTCAGGTGTTGCTCATCACTGCCCGTCTCAGCAAAGAATGGTGCTTCTCGTTATTGGTGTCCTACAACATGACGGTGCCTTACTAAGGACTCTCTGCCCCAGATTTGCGTCTCTCGTCATTCTCCTTACGCTAGCGGATGGCCAAAAGTCCTAACTTTAGCAACAACGAAGCGGCACTTAAAAAGCACGAGCGAGAACACGGGCTGGCACGCGCTGCACTGGCAATCTGTACAGTCAATCGAGTTAGTGATCAACATACTTGCTGCTGCAGCTGGCTCGACTCTGTCTGTCCGCGCGCGCTTCTTTTCTCAGCTTCGTCATTCTGTTTTGCCAGTTCCATCGGTCTGCCGACCTGCACCTCCCAAATCTTTCAGCCAAAACAGCCACAATTATGCACACGACTTGCACCATTGTTGCTGTCCAGACCCCGGCTATGCAAAGCAAGACACCAGGTCCCCCTTCCCTATTTGACCATTTGCGATACGGATCCGTGTTGACTCCTTCAAGTAACAAGACATAGCAATATGTCGTCTTGGTCATCAGACCCGTCTAAGTCGAATCACGTGTTGACGGCAGAACCACTACACTACATGGAACGCACCTTGGGTTCTCGGCTTCGGGCCCCGGGCTTGCCCATTGCGCCTTGACTGCCCCGTCAACAGTGGAACGTCACGGCGCCAAAACAAAGAAAACGAGAGAGGCCACATGACAGTGAAAAGAAAAAGACGTACCTGGTCCTTTATACTGCGAACACCCGATTGACGATTGACGATAGCCTCACAAGCAACAAATAATGGCATGACAATATCTTCTTTTTCGCACAGTCATCCTCGCCCATCTCATTTTCGCTACCAGCCTGTAGTAAGCGCCGTCAATTTCTCCCACATGGCAATGTCCCGTTACCCGTCGTCCGTCCTCCACCCCGAGCGGCCTCTAATTATTTCGCTTCCCGCCCTTTTGCAGCATCATGTCCCTGGATTGGGAAGTCATCCCCGCGTTCCATTGATCCAGCCCGTCACCCGGCAGGTTCTAAATATCATGGCAAATCCTTTTTTGAATTGCGTCCCGCCCATTCTGTCCTTGTATGTGTCACCCGCCGCTATAATGGGGATCACCATAGCCATGCTCCGTTACGACCTTCTTCCTCGGTACGACGTTGCGCATGCAGTAGTGCGGCAATGGCAATATGTGCGGACCCTCCTTTTGTTTCTCTGGGGAAGTATGAGCAAAGATTCAAGGCGGAACCCCTCGAGAGAAATTTTCTTAGCAAACAGATGACCTGCATACGCCGAACTTTCAAGGCAGGGAAAATTACAATATTCAATCTTCATTTGACTGCGGAAATTACATGGCGGCTCGCTCCTGCGTCGATCCTGGAACCCCAACAAGAGCCGGACCTGCTCCACGCGCACATCCACTACGAATCGTATACGAACACACTGCACCATTGGCCATTCACATGGCAACTTTTGGAGAGCTGCAGGGAACTCGCGGACCTGCATAACCTCTCGACGGCCCTTCTCCTCCCCTTCATCTCTTAATTTCGGGTTCTGGCCCCTCCCTGCCCCTCACCACCCACCGTCCAATGTTCAATGTCACTGGCTCGACGTCGGCCAACCCTTCAGCGTCAAGTTTCGCATCAACTGATAACTTGTTTCAGCCCGCTACCGCGATTCCCCCGAGACCTTCTACACGTATACCGTTCGCTCATTCGTTGGATCCGAGGCGTCCTCAGATGAACCCATCTCAACGGCCCGGGCTTTACTGCTGCTTCGGCCTCTGTATAAGAAGAATCGAGGGGGCTCTTGCAAAACGATCATCTCCCGCGGTGCAGCTGACGCTCTCGGGCCTCCCGATTTTCCCCTCCCGTCCCTCATCCTCTGCTCTGTCAGCCTCCTTCGCCCTCCATGCCTCTCCATGCAAGTGCGAATCCAGGACCTAAGTTCCGCTGCCGTAGGGGCTTCTAGCGTCTGTGAGACATGTAGCTGTTTCGCGCAGACACTGACGCACGGATGGATCGCCCACAGAGTATGCACCACATTGATTGAATCCGCCTGGTAAAACAGGCGGGGAGTCGTATACTACAGATACGCCGTCAGACACGCGAATCGCGTTGAAGTAACGGACCCTTTTGTCTACTTGGCCCGGGCGCGGAACAGAGACTGCGTTCATAGTCTGTATTCGTCGTCCACATATGCCATCCCATCTTATGTGTACCTCTTGCCATCGGGTCCAACCGACCCCAACCAAGCGCCCGGTTAGAATTTCCCATCTCTCCCGCGACGCCTGTGTGTCCTCGACTTATTGCTCATCTTTCTGTCTGCAATACTGTTACAGCTTAGTGGCGACTGGAGAGTGATGCTGCCTGCTCACGTAACAGAACTTACACCGTACATAGGTAGTGTGTTAAACTGCCTAGGTACACAATCTAAACCACACGATCGCTGCAACCATTCACTCACTTAAGCTCTATATCATATACAGACTTCCTTGATGACAGTCGTAAGGCATGAACTCTGTCCAGAGCAGATCCGATCTGCTCAGCGGCCACGCTGGTTTGCACGCAAAGGTCTTCGCAGCCCCAATGTTGTGTACCCACCAGAGGCATCCTCACGGAACCAACCTCCCCTAGTCATTCAGTCGCCCTGGAGTAGTAAGGTAGGGTGATTTAGAGTTGCTCACCAGTGTCGGATACGTCGCCACCCGGTCCAGCATCGCCCATGTTCTCTCGCCCCGTCTTCGTCTGCCGCCCGTTTTGGGCGGACGCGCGCGCGCGTGCGCCGTCGTTGGGACTCAAAGTACTCCTTTCGATTACCCGCCGCGCCAGATCCATCGTTTGTCAACGTCACATACTATGTAGAGTCAATCAACCGCAGCCGCAGCCGCAGCCGCAGCCGCAGAGAACGCCGCCCATGTCCCCTCCCGAGAAGAAAATACCACGAACGCAGCCGGCCGCCAACATTATAGAACCAACGTCAACTCCGACAGCGACCGCACAGGAGCATCGGATCTTGTTCAGATGAACAAGCCCCTGAAAAGTTTCTTCATTGAGAGATTGGTATATTTAGACAAGGCTGGTTGTCCTCGTGACCTGCCTCGTATCTGTATGCATACCCTTACGACTACTAACAAACATTCCCGTCGGCCCCGCCATTTCCCATGACCCTCCGATTTTCTGAGGCGCAGTGCGTGTACACGCGCCATCGTCGTCAACCTCACGTCACCTTTCTGGCCTCCCCACACACCCGGGAAGGTCCTTCCATTTTCTTTACCTACCGAGGCCTAAATGCCAGGTTCTCGGTCAAGTTTTCGCCATCGTTGGTGGCGAGGTGGGCTGAGTTAGGAAGTGGTCGGAGGGCCAACAACTTAAAGCTGAGGAGGAGTACAAAGACCCTGTCGCTGGCTGAGTCCTTATGTTTGCCCCTCCAAGATATCTTAGATTATTTCTTTCCTTCACCAAGAATAGCTTCGTATAGGCCGCCTTTTGTCCACAAAGCCGCTTCATCTGCAAGGTGAAAGTTCGTTACGGGTAGCTCCATCCTTTGTGGTCGCTGACTCAGTGGTCCCTATCTTCGTTGTAAAGCTAGCCAGCTCAGAACACCGCCTCTTCCTTGATGAAATGGGCGTGTGGTGGCATCTCCATCCAAAAAGAAACCAGCCTGGATGATTCCAGGCCATATATGCTTCACAGCCCGATCGGCTGAGTTTGCGCATGCGCGAGGAAGAAGATTCGGCACTCATCGTCTCTGGCCTCCAAAGGTTGCCCGGAGCGCCAGGATCTGTTGCCTTTCAGCCTCGGGTAGCATGTTGATTGTCTCCAGCGGCAGCTCCATAACCTGCCGCATGAGCGCATCGGGGTCCTGGCCCAGGGCCGCCGCGGCCGGTGGGGGTGGCGCGCCGTAAGGAGCCTGCTGGGGGGGCGGCGCGTACGGCGTGCCCACGACAGGCGGGGTGTTGGTGGCACCGGGCACAACCACTGGGGGGAAACCCGGCGCGGGGGGCTGAGGCGGGTAGCCGACTGGTGCGGTCGGGACCGGGGTCGCAGAGGGCGCGCCGCCGGCTTCGATGACGGAGTGGATTGCCTCCGGAGACACAAGGCCCATCAGCAAAAGGGCCTGGAAAACGGCGTAGGTCAGCTGCGGCGCCTGCTGAAGGAGCTCCGTCGCTCGGGCGGGATCAGAGGAGGCAAGCGCTTTCATTTGCGTGAGGATGTCCAGGAGCTGTGAGGGGGGCAGCGTGTTCAGCGTGCGGGAAATGGCGTCGGTTGCGGTCACGTTGGGGGGGAGCTCTTTGCCGGCTGGTAGAGGAGGGAGCGTGCTCGACTGCACCGGGGGCGCAACCGGGTTATAGCCATTCGAGGCGTAAGATGGATTACCGCCATCTCGACCCTGCTATTTATCAAGGTGTCAGCTTCAACAGCGGATCGTATCCGAAAGCAGAGCTATACTCCTAAACTCACATGTCCATGACTGTCATCGTTGCCGTCGCTGCCTCCTTCGTTGGAGAAGTCGACCCTCAGTTTCCTACCCATAATCTCGTAATCGTTAAGGTTGCGGACCGCAGATGCCGCAGAATCTGTATCAGTATATTAGCCTGCTTGACTTTCCCAAGAGCCCGTGGTGGTATTTACCGTTGTCGGGATACTCCGCGAAGCCGAAACCCTTCGGCCGTCCAGTCTCACGGTCATAGACGAGGCGGAAGTTAAGGACTTTGCCTGCACTGCTGAAGATGTCGCTGATCTGTTCCTCGGAAAGGCCTGGAAAAACGCTAAATATGTTTCTTCGTCCTCTTCGAATACAATTGGCACTTACCATAGGGGATGTTTCCCACAAAAACGACTCGGGAAGGTGGTTTCGACATCTTGGCGATGCGTCGGAAGAAGAATCCCTCAAAAGGAAAACGTTCAGTTGGATGTTTGACGATGGCTTTTCGGCTTCGGTTGGAAGAAGATCGTGTGCCTTCTATTCCTCATCGGCTGTTTCCCAATATCACGTGTTGAATGCAGATCTCAGGCGTTAATTAAACAAACGGCGCAACGTTGATAATTTGGTGGTTGAAGTTGACTTCTCGATCAAACGCACGGCACTTCATTCAGCCTTGGTTGCTAGGCTGGGATTTTACAGTGGGGAATCACAGCTTGAGCACAGGCCATTCTGATTCTGGATTCTTTGAGAGACGGACAGTAGTGTTCCATTGGCCAACGGCCGACAATTACCCATGAAGCGGGACCCACACTGCACCATGCGGGACCCCTGAGGAAGGTTCACCTTTAGCGCAACTGGGAACTGGACGGGCTGCGTGGCCAGAAGATAAGTGAAGGTGGCCTCTACTGTTGACTGTGCAACTCCCAAGACTTTGTGAGACCACTCTCTTTTTCTTCGTGCTTTTCGACCTCGAGAACTTCTTGAAGCGTTGACTTCACTTCCCATGACTCAGGCGGGGTCGACCACTTCCTGACATTATATTTTTCCCCCTCCCGCCACTCTTTTTCTTTACTCTTTTGCTCTTTTGCTCTTGGCGCATCGCCGCGAAAGTACGAAACTTGGGTTGATCTCCCCCCCATAAAACAAAGGAAAAGGGCACGCGAGGCTGCTTCACTTTGTGGCAGACAGCCCGCCCTCTCAATAACCCTTCTCCCGGTTCTCAAACATTACCATGCCGGCGAAGTCAAGGTTTACGAGGCTCGACGCCTTCACGAAGACGGTCGATGAGGCGCGGATTCGCACAACTTCCGGTGGAATCGTCACCATCGTGTCGTTGATCGTTGTATTTTGGCTGGCCTGGGGAGAATGGGCTGACTACAGGAAGATAGAGATCCACCCTGAGTTGATTGTGGACAAGGGAAGAGGTATGAGGCTCTTTGAACGACGCCCAAGTCCGGGAGGACATCGAGAGCTAATGCGCCTTTGGCACAGGCGAGCGTATGGAGATCCACCTCAACATGACCTTCCCCAAGATGCCTTGCGAGCTTCTCACCCTGGACGTCATGGACGTCTCCGGCGAGCAGCAGCACGGTGTCATGCACGGCATCAACAAGGTTCGCCTTCGCCCTCAGAAGGAGGGAGGCGGCGTTATCGACATCAAGGCCCTGGATCTGTAAGAAGCATCTGTCTCCTATCATACTGCCAGTACCTTTACTGATAACTCCTCAAAGTCACTCCCGTGACGACTCTGCTGAGCACCTGGACCCCAACTACTGCGGGCCCTGCTACGGCGCCCAGGCCCCCCCAAACGCGCAAAAGCCCGGCTGCTGCAACACTTGCGATGAAGTAAGAGAGGCATACGCGCAGGCTTCGTGGGCTTTTGGCAAGGGCGAGGGCGTCGAGCAGTGTACACGCGAACATTACGCCGAGCGATTGGAGGAGCAACGTCAGGAGGGATGCCGCATCGAGGGCAATCTGCGTATTAACAAGGTCGTTGGAAACTTCCACCTTGCCCCTGGCCGCAGCTTCAGCAACGGAAACATGCACGTCCACGACCTCAAAAACTACTGGGACACCCCCGCCGATGCCCAGCATGACTTCACTCACACTATCCATTCCCTGCGTTTCGGTCCCCAACTGCCTGATCAGGTCACCAAGAAGCTGGGCAAGCGTGCATACGCCTGGACGAACCACCACGGCAACCCCCTCGACAACACTCACCAAGACACAAACGACCCCAACTATAACTTCATGTACTTTATCAAGATTGTGCCCACCTCGTATCTCCCCTCAATTGGCAGAAGTCGACCCCCTACCATGACGACAGTTCCAGTCTTGGTCTTCTCGGCCAGGGCAACGATGGCAGCGTCGAGACTCATCAGTACTCTGTGACAAGCCACAAGCGTAGCTTGGCTGGTGGTGACGACGCCGCCGAAGGACACCAGGAGCGCCTTCACTCTCGCGGCGGTATTCCGGGAGTTTTCTTCTCCTACGTGGGTTCTCCCTGCCCCTGATTTTCAGCCTCGTCACTAATGAGACTTCTCAGGATATCTCGCCTATGAAGGTCATCAACCGAGAAGAGCGCGCCAAGACCTTTACGGGTTTCCTCACTGGTATGTGCGCCATCATCGGCGGTACTCTTACTGTCGCCGCCGCCGTCGACCGTGGCGTCTTCGAGGGTGGCATGCGTCTCAAGAAGATGCGCTCGAAGGACCTCTAGATCTTGAGGATAAGGAGTCTGGTGGTGTGTATGTAGTCTTTACGTGCTGACATTTCCTACGCACTGTGCATCAAAAGAGGAGTTCGGGTGGTTTGGCAAAAGAGGTTTTGATCTCTTCAAATTGATATAGAAATATCATATGTGACCTTGGCGTTCCTAGGCCGCAACATATATCTCTGCCCATTGGCTCCATTGCCCATCAACCCGGAACGGCAATCCGCATATGCTAACCTAGATGCTGTACCAGGGCCGCCCCAGGTATCAGAGGTAACGACGGAAAGATGATTTTAGTCTGACAATGGACACGTGAGACGAAGCGAAACCTGGAAGGCAGCTTCTTTGCAACTGAAGAAGACGCAGTGAGCAGGTGTAAAGTCAACCTTGAGCCTTCACGGTATACATAGATGGGCCTTTCCTTGATGTAGGGTGCCAGCCATGCTTTGGCCAAAAAGCACTTGAACATATGATTTCATCTAAAGAAGGGAAGAATTCTCCTTAAGGGGATCTTCCTCCAGCTGACTTATAAGAAGGCAGCTCGGAGTAAGATATGCATGTATGAATACAGATGTACTAAGTATGGAGCCCACATCTTCAAGTATAGCTTCACCTGTATGCTAGGCTGTCTTGACTCCGTCCACAATTACCCCGAAGTCGACCAAGATATCTGTGTCGACGCGCGACGCCTTGGTAATTTATGTGTTCTTGTCAATATTTGCAATCATTCCACAGTGAATTTGATGATTCCCGGGATGCGTTGTGAACCTGCCATCTTTGAAATAGCTCACAACGACAGAGATCGAGTCAATACACAAGTCACAATGACACTAACTAGTATATGCCCCGTATGATTCATCGTCAATTTCCGCTCGGTGCCTCATCATGTTGAAGTTCGACAGTGGTCTTGGATTTGTCATACTGTCGGAGAGGATAGCGTTACATACACTCCAAAAATAAACGTGGTGCGCTAATTCTCGAAGTATCAATCAAATTGAATAAACAGTGAAGCTGTGGCAACTCTATCAGAAGATATGAACTCTCATATTCAACCCTGCCAACCTTCATCAAGTCCAGCTTTGTACTACTTATGTCTGTCCGCGAGATTTTCTCTAGATATCAGACATGACATTGACGTCTGTCCTTGAAATTTCCAAAGGATACAGGAAACACCATTTGTTTCAATTGCACGTTTACCGGTCATAATGGCGAGGTATGGGGTTGATGTGCCGAATACCGAATGCAGAAAATATCAGTTGAATCTAGCTTCAGTAATTAGGTTGCGCTCCGTGAAAGGATTTGCGCGGCCGAAGAAATGCGTCGTCCTATGGCGCCTTGAAGAGAAAAAAGTATCCTATCCCCCTCCCCCACCTTCTTCTTCAATACTATCACGTATTTTGGGTCTCTGGTAGACCTACCAAAATTCTGCATGACTTGGTCTGTGATACAGATACGCCAGCAACATCGGAAGAGATGACGGAGTCGCTTGTCAGCCATATACTCAGGCATGTTGGTTTTTTAATGCGTGGGGCAACTCAGCAAAACCAAGCATCCGTGCCCGCCGGCGTTGGAAACATTGAGTATTTGTTTGGGCTCGGCATGTGGCAGCCATCCTGAAGAACACCCGGCCTGTAGCAGACTGAATATCGCTTAAGTCAGAGAGCTCTGAGGCCTTCATGCGAACACGACAGTCGGAGGCTACTCTGCACAAGAGGGAGTCAAACGTAATAACACCAGCTAAGATTATCAATGCCCGGGTCTGGCCTCGGGCGGCAGGACCAGCCTTTGCCCTTTCCTTTGTACTTCAGCCTACAACATATTGGGATGAACAACGCAGAGCACAGGACGTGGGCAGAGAAAGCCACTTACCGGGAGTCATGGTTTGAATGTAAAAGATGGTAGAGATAAATGTATTTTTCTTTGAGAAGATACGCATTAATCATAATGTTGCACAGGATCAGCTGCAAAACTAGCAATAATACTCAGAACTTTCTATAACGTTACTGCTGGCTAAAGCTAGAGAACTGACCAACTCCATGACACTACTGGCATTATCGGTATATCGCAGTTAGATTGGAATAATAACAAGGTTCTTATCCTACACATATTCCTACAAATCGTTTACGATGGTAACATCGCGGCTGCCTTTGTAATTAAGAATTCGTCTAGGGTCATGGATTGCGTCGGCGTGTACCCATTGCCATTGCTTCCAGTTGGGATTCGCATTTCCGACACCAAGTTAACCGTATTCTGTAAGACGGTCAGTCGTCCGCTTCTGCAGAGCGCGCGCGGTCAGGATAGAGGGTCTAGCAGACTTACCATGCCAAGTACTGCAGCATCCAGTCGCTCAAACATCCTCCAGAGTCTGTCGGGGTTCTTGGTGAAAACGTAGCTAGCCAATTGGACTTGTGTATCGTTCGCCCAGCTTGTTACCTCGTCCTCTGTATCAAACACATATAGCCCTAGGATCGGCGCGAATACCTCTTCCCGACACATTAGCATCTCATCCGCCATGCTCCCCAACACAGTCGGCGCCATGAAGTAACCATCCCCAGGTTCTCGTCTTCCCGTACCAAGAAGCATAGTGGCACCTTTATCGATGGCATCCTTACACATCGCCTCCGCCTTGTATAGTCCCCGAATAGTCGTCAGCGGCCCAAGAGTAGTCCCCCTGGCCATACCGTGACCGAGCTTCAGTTTTGCGGCCTCAGCAATCAGCAAGCTCGAAAACGATTCGTATACGCGCCGATGCACATAACAACGGTTCGGCGCCACGCAGACCTGTCCCGCATGCCGCCACTTGAGGGCCACAAGGTCCCTAGCCGTCTGCTCAAGGTCCGCGTCGTCGAACACAATGAATGGACAATTTCCACCCAAATCCAAGGACAGTCGTTTTAGATTTCGGGTGCAAGATGCCGCGACTCGCTTCCCTATCCGAGTACTTCCTGTGAAGCTGACAGCCTTGACGAGGGGGTGCATACACAATGCCTCGGCCACGGCCGGTGTGTTTCCCAGGCTTGTCGTCAGGACGTTGAGCACGCCGGCCGGAAACCCCGCGCGGTCGGCCAGGCAGGCAAGAGCGAGCGCCGTAAGAGGGGTTTCGGATGACGGCTTAACGATGACGGTGCAACCGGCAGCCATCGCCGCTGCCGATTTCCGGAGGGTAAGTGCGAGGGGAAAGCTCCATGGAACCAGGGCAAGGACGACACCGATCGGTTGCTTGAGTATTGCGCCTCGTCTTCTCGGAAAGGCGCCGGTGCCGCGCGCGGAGATGGCTGGAGCGGCGCTGTCGTCGGGCGTAGGGGAGGGTACTGGCGACGTGGTCGGCGACGGGGCCGGCGATGGCAACTGTGGAACCGGGTCCAGACGTTCGGCTTCGCCAGCGAACCAGCGGACCAAACTGGCCCCATAGTCAACTTCAGCGAGTGCTTCATGCAACGGCTTTCCTGTCTCGTGTACGAGAATGGTGGCTAAGTCCATACGGCTGGCAAGGATAAGGTGATTCCAGGAAGTCAGCAGACGCGCGCGTTCCCGGGCCGGAGTCGTTCTTGAAAAGCTCTGAAAGGCGGAGAAGGATGACTTGATGACGGAATGAACATCGTCTTTGGTACTGTCCGGACAAGTCGCCCACACTCGGCCGGTACCCGGGTCGAGGATGGCATAACGCTTGTTATGCTGAGAGGAAACCCACTCGCCGTGGACGTGGCAATCGCGGCGAAGCAGGTCTACATCCGTAAGCTTGAAAGGAGGCTGAAAAGGGGGCGACGCAGGAGGCAGGCCATGAATGACGAGGCTATTGGTGTTACTTCTCGTAGTCGAGTCGGAAGAGGAGGTGCTGTTTGTTGTGATGGATGTGCCGACGAAAGGGGACGTCGCGGCGCTGTTCATGGTTGGCGAGAAAGACACCCTTCGTCGGTGGGAATAGTCTTCCCCGCCGGGTTGGGCGATCGTATGCCTCCGCATCAGGTACACCTTTGCGATGCCAGAAGAAGTAGAAGTGGGTATAGTGTAGTGTCGTATGAGGCAAGAAATCCCGAGAAGAGCAATGCCTATCTGGTAGCTGGCAATATGGATAGGGCTGGCAATATGGATAGGGCTGGCAAGGCGCGTCTCAACGCGGGTTTTAACAGGGAGATTATCCCTTCTCCTCACGCTGTTGTATCGATGCCCGACCGCCGCTGGAGTAGGCTTTGGAGGAGGGGGGAGGGATCCGAAGTCGAATGAGATCGGCAAAGCCAGGAGCATACATGTTTTATACTCTGAACCTCAGCGTTGTCTGAAGCTTAAGGTTGGTGGCGTCGCAAAGCATTTCAGCAACCTACCTATCTACCTCTGTCTACGAGTAAGCGGTCCAAGCTCCGGGCTGCAGCGTTCCCCTCACTTCCACCTGCCCAGAGTCTCGGATTGAGCGCGACACGGGCCGCTCCGGCATCGCAACGGTCGATTCATTCGTGGCAGTTCGCAACCATTTCGGGACACCTGTTCGCTCTGGATTGTTGAGGGGAGGCTGGATCGCGGATTTCCATCTGACGCCGGCAGCAGATGGTTGTCATTAATTCAGTCTCCTCAGTGCCAAGCTGGAGAAGCGTTCGTTCATGAGCGGATGGGCAACATCAGATGATGGTCATCAGTGCTCTAATCGGAATTTACATTCAAGGCGGAGAGAAGCTCTGTTAGCCCAAAAGCGTACGCAGTAGCATTTTCAGAAAACCTTCGTGATGTTGTCCCAGCACGGGTGCCCTTTCTAACGGTCTTAAAACAAGCGTACAGATGCCCACTGCGACCTCTAGTAATATGAAGTGCTTCCACTCCTGTACTCCGGTCTCGACTCAGGATAGCCACCAGGTGGTCCGGGGTGACCCTTCGCCTCATCTTCCGAGCTCAGAGCATCCCCGTAGTCGTCACTTCTCTCAGGCGGTGCCCGCATGGCTTCCAGTATGCTGCGATCCAGCATCGGTGGCTGGTACGGCTTGAGAGTATGCATCTCTCGGCCGGATGGCATCTGTGCCAATAAAGGGCCAATCGGAGGTATGATCTGAACGTTCATCTTGGAAAAGAGGGTTAGTGAGATCTCCCCAGAGCTAATCGTGAGCTCAGAGAGGCAACTTACCGTGTCATTAAGTTTATGCCATTTCCCTTCGAGGAACTCGATCACGCGCGTCTCCTCGCCTTTACCGCCATCCGCTC